CAGCCCAATGTTTGTTCAGCTTAAACTGGCTCGACTATTTTTCCTTAAGTAAAAACAAACATGAGTTGTGTACACTGTGGACTGAACATGACTAATAATTAAGCAAGTATTTAGATTTGACAAGGTATTTGTGCGGTTTAATGCCAGAGTGAGCATTCACCATTAGGAACAGTGCAATCTCCCTGGGAACATTTACTGTAGGAAAGAAGAGTCAAAACACGGAGTCAGAGGTGAAATGTATGACTTTTATCTGGAGATCTGTGATTCTGATATTCTGAGCTACTCTGTTGAGCTGAATGTTGGTTCTCCAGTCCAAGTGTGTTTTGTGGATCTGGAGAAAGCTTTTAACCATGTCCTGCCATGTCCTGCCAGATGGGAGCGAGTCAGAGAGACTGTGTCCAGGGTGACACGGGTCAGCTGTGATCGGATGCCTCAATGTCCTGGAGGTGGACAGGTCCTGTAGGGAGGCGAGTTTGCAGCCAATGACTTTCTCAGCACAGCGTACAACCTGCTGCAGCCTCTCCTTGTCCCGGATGGTGGCTCCAGCATACCACAGTGACTGAGGAGGTGTGGATGGGCTCGATGACTGCAGTGTAGAACTGCCTCATCAACTGTCCTGGCAGGTTGAATTTCTTCTGCTATTTCAGGAAATACATCCTCAGCTGGCCCTTTTTTATGATGGAGGTGATGGTGGGCTCCCAACTGAGGTCTTGGGTGATGGTGGTGCCCAGGAAACAACATGAGTCCACCATCGTGTTTAGGCTTAAGCCTGGTTTATGCTTCTCCGTCAGCTCCGCAAGGGACAGACACGCACGGATCGACGGAAGCGTTTTGCTCTTTTACTTCTCCGTCTCCTGGAGAGTGTTGCAAAGCAATTCCCCGGCAGGACCACAGAGGGCGCAGTGCTGTTCTGTGGTATCCTGTCATGTATCTGTCCAAGATCGTGTGTTTATATTGTGTTTTTTGTGTATATAAGAGACTTTTAACACGGACATATTTGTCTCTCATTCTCCCACCGCTTCATGCGCTCCCCACCTCTAAACCCACGTTTCCTGTCCTTTCCGTCCACAAATAAAACGCTTGCTGCACATCTTTTCACTCCTCCAGTCACGGGAGAATTAAACGTTCATATTTTTAGAGTTTTTTCGCGAGGTCTTCTTCAAGCTTCTCCGTGTCTGCCGCTAGTTATCCTCGGCTCTCTTTGCAATGGCGGCGCTGTAAACAACAGCGGCGTCCTGACCAATCACAAGCTTGCGTAATCCGTCTCGTTCGACGGATGTTTAAAAAAGTGGGCTCGACTCCGTACGTACTTGTGTGCCTGCCGGAGCCCTACGCAAGGACGGATAATGGCGTTGCGTGTCTCCGCACTGACGCAGACGGAGAAGCATGAATCAGGCTTTAGGCTACTGCACATGTGACCTGACCCAGGATAAGCAGCTGAAAATGGATGGATGGTTGTCCTTTTTTTTTTTTTAAACAAGTTTTGCACGTTAAATATTCTTTAAGTGGCATACTTTGTAGAAGTGTTTGTTCTGCTGAAATGTTGACATTTATAAACAGAAGAAAAGTATGTCATGCACGTGATTCAGATTATGTTGTAAAATGGATTTTAGGCCATTTTGCGCAAGCGGCAAACTTGGCCACATACTGAATTTGGGATTTTCATTAGTTGTTATAATTATCAAAATAAAAATAAGCATTTGAAATATATCAGTCTGTGTGTAATGAATTAATCTAATGTACAAGTCTCACCTTTTGAATAGAATTACTGAAATAAATCAACTTTGTCACGATATTCTAATTTTATGGCCAGCACCTGTATTCCATACCAAACGTATTTATAAAAGCGCATGTGAGCTGACCCACGTGGTGTGCACCACAAAACCGTACAAAGACCAATAAAACAAAATAAATCACGATCTTTAAATACAAATAAAACACATTAATGGAGAATTAAGGTAAAAACCAAATAAAATAAAGATTCTAACTAAAAGCCAGCTCATAGTGGTGGGTCTTTAAACATGACTGTGTATCATAAAAAGTTTTAAAGTCCAAAGAAAAGTCTAACTACCTTCATACTCTTCCTCGTTGTGCAAGTGGCTGTCATCAATCAAGTTGAGTAGACGTAGAACAGGAGAAGGCAGCAGAACAAGATCCTCAATGTGAGGCGCTGACACACACACACACACACACACACACACACACATTTAGCGAACGAACAGTTGGAGGGATCTTGTTAAAGCCAGACACGTACCAAAGGGAATACTGAAGAAGGGACTCAGCAGAGCAGATTCGGCTGTGCATCTTTGTTTTGGATCGTGGAGCAGCATGCTGTACACACACATGAACTTATTTATATCACTGGAGATGGAATGACAGAACAATATCATATTTACACTGCAGAGGACAGAGTTTACCTCTTAATAAGGTCTCTGAGGTGATAAACCGGGATGGCAGGGCACAAAACACTGTTGCTTGCAAAAATGTGGTCCACAATGGCAGCATTGTTATCCTAAAGCACAGAGAAACAGACCGTGACCTCAGACTCCTAACGCAACTATAGATCTGTATTATTTATTATGTGTTGTCTTTAAAGAGCAAGTCACCCCCAAATCAACAATTTTTTTTCTGATAAACTATATAAATGCATGTCTAATCATGCTGCAGACACGTGGTCAATTGTTTTGCACTTGAGTGCATTTTAGTTAAAATTTAAATTTTCTGCCTAAAACTGTCAGTGTTGTGCCGTTGTCAGGTAAAAACTCTGCACTGCATTTGAATTTAAATCTGCCACCGCTATTGGCTAAGAGGTATGCTATGATGTAAACTGGTACATTATGATGTCACAATGTCGTGAGTGTGTGTATTTGTTAGTGGCTCCACCCTCTCGGTCTGCCAGGCAACAGCATTTGTTGCATTTTTCAAACATGAAGTGGGAGTGAAGTACGCTTCTTGTAAGGGGTGACTTGCTCTTTAATGCTTCAAATTATGTAAAGGTGTTGCAGGATTCATATTCCATATCATCATGCCTTCCACTCCTTTGAGCCGATGGTGTCTTTAAGTTTGATTCCTGAGAACATCTCCAACAGGATGATGCCCAGGCTCCAGAGATCCACAGCAGCTGTGCAGCCCGAGCCTCCCTCCACCCCAGCACGGGCCAGGCTGTTTTGAAGCTCAGCTTCTGGAGCTCGGTACCCATCCGTCTGAATAAACTTTACATCCTAAAAAATTTTTTAAACGAGTTACTGAGATCATCCAAGTCACAGTTGGCACAGTTCTTTATTTCTTAACACCCTCACCGACCTGGTTTCCCTGTTTGAAGCTAAGGCCGAAGTCGATGAGCTTGAAGCACTCATCGTCAGGGCTCCAGAGGATGTTGCGTGGTTTGAGGTCAGCGTGGACGTAGCCTTCTCTATGGAGGAAGGACAGACCCTCCATGATGTCTCGAGCACAGTGCTGAACAAGCCACATGGAGTGGCCCTGCTGGGGTCTGTCACAAATATCAAAAATATTCTATGTGCAATTTGTCAAAACATACATATCAAAATCACAGAAACTTCTCATGACAAAAAGATTTTCAGTAGTCTCAACAACCAGCAATGTAGATGTTTAGGATCTGACCTTTAAAGTGAAACCAACTTGTTATGACGGGAATGCGTGAGTTGTGTGCATTCACGTCAGTGTCGGCCAACGTCGGCCATCTTTAACACGTCGCATTGGTTGAATAAGTAAAACATTTTAACAACCAATGTTTATTCCCATCTCGTTGCCGATAGGGTATGCGTTTCAGAGGGTTTACCGTGGGGTATTTGTTTGGACATGAAACGATGACAGAGACTGCAGAGCAGGATTCTGGGGGTGTTTAACAGAAGCAGAGAAGCAATGTCGGCGGCGGTGTGGCCGTTTGACGGCGTAGAATGTTTAGTGAAATTACAGCGGTCAGCAGAAATGAGTACACCCCTTTAAAAAGTACAAATGTAATCAGGCTGGGTTATACTGAACACGTGTTTAACTCCCTAACATGAAATTAAGGTTAGTAATATAACTTAGAGCAGTGGTTCCTAACCTGGGGGTCCCGACCCCCACAAGGGGGCGCCAAAGCCTCTCAGTGGGTCGCCAGGACCTCTCCACTTTAAGGGGTTAAAACTTCATTTATTACTTGTTTATAGCCTACATTTTGCTCACATTTTTTTTCATGAGTGAAAAGTTTACTGACATTAAGACAGGAAATAATTAGTACAGAAAAATTAACACACTTTTAAGAACATTTTGCTCAGCTCACTGTTTTATTTTCAAGTGTCAAAAGTTCATTAAAGATAGGACTGGTTGATTAATCACAGCGTTTACAGTAAATAATCTAGTATAAACAGTAATATACACATTTAAGTACATTTTGCTCAGTGTATTTTTTATGTGTCAAACGTTTATTGAAAGGAATGATTGATTTATCAGTGTTTACAAGAAACAATGTGTTCAGAAAAGTAATACAAACTGTCAAGCACATTATGCTCTGTTTGGTTTTGTTAATGACTTTGTTCTGTACTGGAGCCTACTATTACTGTTATCTATTGAATCAAAGCATATTAAAATGTGCTTGAACAATTTTATCATTTCTTAATACTGTTTGTACTGGAAGAGAGAATGGGAGGGGGTCGTCAAACGTTTGACTGGTAAAAAACGGGGTCCCTTGGGAAAAGGTTGGGAACCACTGTTCTATGGTATGGTATCTCATAGAATATGTTGATTCTGAAAGGAAACTACAGGTTTTTTCTGACTAATGTATTAATGCTGAGCACCCTGTCGATACGTGGAGGTCATGGTCAGTCGACGGACAATTTTCACGACTGATATCTAATGTTTTCCACCTTATTTTCATGCTAAATTGTCAAAAATTACATCAGTTGATGCACAAAAGTTCTAAAGCTAAGTCCGTTTTTTAACTCTGAATTTAACCAGCTGGTAAATCTTAATTTTGTGCACTGCTTAGTGTTAAAATCAGACATCTAAATGAAGTTAATCACACAAATAAGTTAAGTAATAAATATTCACAACCGGTAAATAAAAACACATTTTAGTTGAACATAATTTTAGAGCATTGATGATGTAGATGTTACAATTAAATTATGCAGCAGTCTGTGAGCTGCTGTTAACTGAACTTCACATAAGAGGAATGTGCTGCTTCTAGCTTCACTTCATTATATATAAAGTTTAAGTCTGGGGGCCCAATCCTGGTCCTGAAGGGCCGGTATCCAGCAGACTTTGTGGTTTCTCTGCCCCAACACACTTGTTTCAGTGGTTAAATCACCTGTGCAGCAGCTCGTCAGACTCTGCCAGTGTTGCCAGATCCAAAATCCCACAATATCGTACAGAGAGGCCTAAATTATCGTTTTTCAGTACAAATTATCGTACATTATAAATTTGATAACAACGTTCTATAAACGACTTCTCACTCCAATATAACAAAGAAGGTGTTTTATATTGCCCTGTTTAAATAAACATCCTTAAAACCAGTAATATAATGCTTATAAACGTGCAGAGTGTGTCGGCACCACTCCTCCCTTTGCGTGATTCTTGAGAACGGTGACTTCTGATACCATCTGGATGTTGCAGCAACGACAGAAAGCCTTGGTTTCGTTCCCCGTAAAAGGTGCGAGCCATCCTTTGAAAATAGGGTCCAACTCCCACGCAGGACGATAAACTTGTGTCCGGTGTTGCTTTGCTTCACCTTCATCCGTCCCTTCTCTGGTTTTTCTTTTAAGATTAGAAGCCATTGTCTCGTCGCTCTGTCCTCCTAGCTTAGACTTAACTCGGCGCGCTCGCAGGCAAACAGAAAAAACTGGCGGGCCACTGCCACATTATATAACCTTACAGTTTCTCGCGAGGGTAGGCCCTATCGATGTGATTGGGCTATTTATAGTACAGACCCAGAGTCAGTTTTTGTAATAGACACAATAGCATAAACCTGTAAGCACTGAGGTGAAATCTGACTTCAGAACAGTTTAAAATTATGTAATTGACTTGGGAAAGCCACAGCAAAAGACTGTGTTACTAGATGCAATGTGAAATTATCGTACATTTGAGGATTTTTGAAACTATTGATCGTACATCGTACAGAGCCCAAAATTATGGTACAAATACGATAATTATCGTGCATCTGGCAACACTGCTACTCTGCAGAAGCCAGCTAATCACCTGCTGATTTAAATCAGGTGTGTTGAAGCAGGGTTAAAACTAAAACATGCTGGATACCAGCCCTCCAGGACCAGGATTGGGTACCTCTGGTTTAAGTGTTTATGCATGATTATATCCTCTTAAAGTCTAGGTAGGGCTTTTGTGACTTGACTGCATGTCTGATTACATAGATGGCAATATTATGCATTTTCTGTAGCCTGAGCACGTTATACAATCACCACGTGGAAATATGTCTGTGAAGGTTCTCAGTCATCCAGGTCATTGTAGTCTAATGAGCTTTGAAAGAAAAGCGTCTGGACTTCTTTCAGTTGCTTGAAGACGTTTCACCTCTCATCCGAGAGGCTTCTTCAGTTCTAAGGTCAAATGGTGGAGAGTCCCTCAACGCCCACGCATATCCTGGGCCATCTGACCTCTGGAATTCGCATGATAGGGTGGGGCCAGGTTTCACAATGAGCTCACCCGAAACTGGCTGAATAGGACCCACACCCACCCTCACACCTTGGCTCATGTGTTTATGTAGAAGATCATCAGGGGGTCTTTTGTTCCCTGAGGGGGAAACTCCAACTGGGTTTAAATCTGGGACTCTCCACCATTTGACCTTAGAACCAGTGTTGCCAGATGTACGATAATTATCGTATTTGGACCATAATTTTGGGCTTTGTACGATGTACGATCAATAGTTTCAAAAATCCTCAAATGTACGATAATTTGTACTGAAAAACGATAATTTAGGTCTCTCTGTACGATATTGTGGGATTTTGGATCTGGCAACACTGCTTAGAATTGAAGAAGCCTCTCGGATGAGAGGTGAAACGTCTTCAAGCAACTCAAAGAAGTCCAGACGCTTTTCTTTCAAAGCTCATTAGACCACCACATGGAAAGAAAGCATGTCATTAAATGTGGTCAACAAAAATACACCAATCCTGTGATTATTTTTGTTCCTATTTAATACTTCACCTGAACAAGCATCGTGTTTTACAATTTTCATAGCAGAACATCTGCTTCTAAGCATAAGACAAAGGCCTTTAAAATCTTATGTACTAGAAAAGAATACATTAGAACGGTGTTTTATAGTCCCACCGTGGGGATTCAGGTGTACCAGCAGCAAGTTAAAGGTAAGAATGTTAGGATGAAGAAGGACAGCAACCACATAACCAAAGAAGATTCCTGAAGTGAAATGTGCCTTCCCAAAGATGTTACCTGTGATCATATTCTGATCGGCCACTAGTTACACTATTAGAATACATTTTCCTGTTGTTGCTTTATCACTAACTTTAATTTCGGGGTAGTTTTCATGTAAAATGGTGGAGTTATGTTTTATCAGTGTCAGTGTAAGACACCATAATGCTCGCACTGCTGCTGCCACGTTTCTTTAGTCGTCTCCTAGAGGAGCACAAATAAACGGAGAAAAATGCTACTGTTGCACTCCGCAGCATCTCTTACCTCCCTTCCTGGACACCACTGCCACATCTCACCAGCAGCTCAGACACACTGACATCCAGGAGCTCCAGCAGAAGACAGCGGGTAGCAACACCCATACAGCTGTGGTTGGTGAACACCCCATACAGCGTGACTGAGAAGGAAGAACATTTATTTATCGTGAATCCTCTGAGCATCTCTGGGGCTTTGGAACTTCGGCGTTTATGTGTGATCTCTGGACTAAAAACTGTTTTCATTACCCGAGAAATCTTTCCATTCTGAGAAAGTTGATATCTAAATATAAACTTTAGATCAAGGTCTTTATTTCCTCACATCTAGATTATTGTAACCCTTGAACAAAAAGCTCTTCAGTTGGTCCAGAACTCTGCCGCAACGCTCCGTCCCGACTGGAATCAACAGAAGAGCTCACATCTCTCCTGTTTTAAATGTTTCTGTTCACTTTAGATTTCATTTGATAATCCTGACTAACCTTCAGGATCTGCAGGATAAAGATCCTCTTGATATAACCGAATACTTTAAGTCAGGAGCTCCAATCAGAGCCTCGGACCAGTGTCTATTACCAGGTCTGAGGACCTTATCCAGACCTGAAGGGGATTGCTCCACAGCCGTAGAATAAACTTGATTTATGCGGTATTTGCTGTCTGGACTCCTTTAAATCAGCTGAAGACTTTCTGATTCAAACTTACTTCGTCTATTTTCGACCAACTTCCAATACCAACTTAATTTCTATAGCACAATTTAAGACACAGCGTGAGAGCTGACCAAAGTGATGAACAGACAGGATCAATTAAAACAAAAGTAAAAACAATAAGAAGATAAAACACAACAATAAAAACTATAAAATCATAATATGATAACATGAATCACTGTCTAAAAGCCAAGTCATAAAAGTAGGTTTTTAAACAAGATTTAAAAACGGACTGAGAGGATGCCAGCCTAACTGTACAGGGAGTGCAGAATTATTAGGCAAATGAGTATTTTGTCCACATCGTCCTCTTCATGCATGTTGTCTTACTCCAAGCTGTATAGGCTCGAAAGTCTACAACCAATTAAGCATATTAGGTGATGTGCATCTCTGTAATGAGAAGGGGTGTGGTCTAATGACATCAACACCCTATATCAGGTGTGCATAATTATTAGGCAACTTCCTTTCCTTTGGCAAAATGGGTCAAAAGAAGGACTTGACAGGCTCAGAAAGGTCAAAAATAGTGAGATATCTTGCAGAGGGATGCAGCAGTCTTAAAATTGCAAAGCTTCTGAAGCGTGATCATCGAACAATCAAGCGTCTCATTCAAAATAGTCAACAGGGTCGCAAGAAGCGTGTGGACAAACCAAGGTGCAAAATAACTGCCCATGAACTGAGAAAAGTCAAGCGTGCAGCTGCCAAGATGCCACTTGCCACCAGTTTGGCCACATTTCAGAGCTGCAACATCACTGGAGCGCCCAAAAGCACAAGGTGTGCAATACTCAGAGACATGGCCAAGGTAAGAAAGGCTGAAAGACGACCACCACTGAACAAGACACACAAGCTGAAACGTCAAGACCGGGCCAAGAAATATCTCAAGACTGGTTTTCTAAGGTTTTATGGACTGATGAAATGAGAGTGAGTCTTGCTGGGCCAGATGGATGGGCCCGTGGCTGGACTGGTAAAGGGCAGAGAGCTCCAGTCCGACTCAGACGCCAGCAAGGTGGAGGTGGAGTACTGGTTTGGGCTGGTATCATCAAAGATGAGCTTGTGGGGCCTTTTTGGGTTGAGGGTGGAGTCAAGCTCAACTCCCAGTCCTACTGCCAGTTTCTGGAAGACAGCTTCTTCAAGCAGTGGTACAGGAAGAAGTCTGCATCCTTCAAGAAAAACATGACTTTCATGCAGGACAATGCTCCATCACACGCGTCCAAGTACCCCACAGCGTGGCTGGCAAGAAAGGGTATAAAAGAAGGAAAACTAATGACATGGCCTCCTTGTTCACCTGATCTGAACCCCATTGAGAATCTGTGGTCCATCATCACATGTGAGATTTACAAGGAGGGAAAACAGTACACCTCTCTGAACAGTGTCTGGGAGGCTGTGGTTGCTGCTGCACGCGATGTTGATGGTGAACAGATCAAAACGCTGACAGAATCCATGGATGGCAGGCTTTTGAGTGTCCTTGCAAAGAAAGGTGGCTATATTGGTCGCTGATTTGTTTTTGAATGTCAGAAATGTATATTTGGGAATGTGGAGATGTTATATTGGTTTCACTGGTAAAAATAAATACAGTAATTGAAATGGGTATATACGGTATTTGTTTTTTGTTAAGTTGCCTAATAATTATGCACAGTAATAGTCACCTGCACACACAGATATCCCCTAAAACAGCTAAAACTAAAAACAAACTAAAAACTACTTCCAAAAACATTCAGCTTTGATATTAATGAATTGTTTGGGTTCATTGAGAACATGGTTGTTGTTCAATAATAAAATTATTCCTCAAAAATACAACTTGCCTAATAATTCTGCACTCCCTGTAATGGGCAATGAGTTCCAGAGCATGGGGGCAGCATGGACAAATGCACGTTCACCTTGTGATTTGTAGGCCATCCGGGGAATGCAAAGCAGTAGACGGTCAGCTGACCTCAACATACGAGTAGGTACATAGGGAGTCAGCAGGTCGGACAGATAAGGAGGAGCTAGGTCGTGTGGGGCTTTAAAAACAAACATCAATATCTTAAAACGCACACGAAATGTGATGGGGAGCCAGTGAAGACGTTTCAGGACTGGTGTAATACGGCTATGTCGACTTGTGTTTGTTAAAAACCTAGAAGCAGCATTTTGGACAACCTGCATCCGGTTCAGAGCAGAGACAGGAGTTCCAACTAATAATGCATTAGCGTAGTCCAAGCGAGAGGTGATGAAATCGTGGATGACTGATTCCAAGTGCTTCCTCTTTAAGATCGGTCTTAAACGAGATAGGCGGCGTAACTGATAAAAACAAGACCTCACCACTGAGTTGATCTGAGGAGTCATTGAGAGGTTGACATCCATTTTTACCCCGAGGCTTATTACACGCTGCTTAGGGTTTAAACCATCAAAAGCAGAATGAGAGCCAGAAGGATTGCGGGTAACAAAGACAATGGACTCAGTCTTTAAATCATTCAGCCTGAGGAAATTGGCCGCTAGCCAGCCCTTTACGTCTGCCAGACATGTCGCAAGACGAGAGTCCACATTTCCATTTTTTAGTGCCACGTATATTTGACAGTCGTCAGCATAGATGTGATAGTTAAGACTGTGCCGATATAGGATTTTGCCCAGTGGTAGGAGATATATAGAGAAAAGGAGAGGCCCCAGAACAGAGCCCTGAGGCACACCCCAAGGCAGAGGGAGAGAGGAGGAGGAACAATCTCCAATCTGAACAGTAATAGATCTGTTGGATAGATAGGAGCGAAACCATTCAAGCGCAACCCCCTTTACCCCAACCCAAGTCTCAACACGGTCCAGCAGAACATGGTGGCCCACAGTATCAAAAGCTGCTGAAAGGTCTAGCAAGAGCAGTAATACCTTAGACCCAGAGTCTGATGCCACCAGGATATCAATTAGCACCCTAATAAGGGCTGATTCGGTACTATGGTGTGGTCTGAAAGCAGACTGAAACACATCAAACAATGAGTTACTGTCCATGTGAGCAAAGATTTGCATGTAAATAATTTTCTCCAAAACCTTTGAAAGAAATGGGACTTTTGAGATGGGACAGAAATTCTCGTAAATGGAGTGATCCAAACCTGGTTTCTTCAATATCGGCTTTATAACCGCATTTTTAAAAACCGTAGGAAAAACTCCAGAACTGAGACTAGTATTAAAAATGTTCAATAGAGCTGGGCTCAGTGTAAACACTGAATCAAGTATCAGTCTGGGCGGGAGGCAGTCCACCGGCGAGCCAGCTGGCTTCGTGGAGCTGATTAATTTCGCCAAGGCAGGAAGCTGAACCGGAGAAAAGTCCGAGAAATTAGGTGGACTTAGTGGATCTACATGGACAATTTGTCCTAGATGCTGGAGGCTGAGTCTGATATCACAGATCTTATTTATTAAAAAAAAGTTCTGTAAGTCAGTGCATAACTCAGCAGTGGGAGTAAGGCCAACAGACTCGGTTAAAGATAGTACAGAGTTAATTTTGCTATACAATTTCGACTGGTCTCCATGGCGTTGTGAGATGATGTTAGAAAAATAGGCGTTTCGAGCAGATCTCACAGCTCTCTGGTAGCGGAAAAGAGCGTCAACCAGGAGTTGTCGAACCAGGGGTCAGAGATGGTCTTTTTCCACCTCAGTCTAAGGGGGGCAACAGCATCACAGGGAAGCAGAGCAGGTCTCGTTGAACAAATGCAATGGGCCATCTACATCCATGCAGGAAACTGAAGGGGGTATGGTGAGAGGACCAATATCCAGGAGAGACAGAAAATTTGAGGTCATATTTAGAGATAATAAGAGATAATTTAGAGACTTTTTTTCGGATCTGCGCTGCTCTGGGTGGCTGCATGTTGGAGTAGCTCTGTTGACTATATGTAAGTTTTGCCTTTTCTTGGGCATGTTTTCTTCTAGTTTCTCAAGAAAAACTGTTTTTTTTTTGGACACTTTACTTTTCTGTTTCTGGTGCTGTGAAGCTTGGAGGATTTTTACTGCTATTTTTTAGCTTTTTTCACTTTTTGAGCATTTGTTATGATGCGTAACCATGGCAACAAGCTGGTTTACAATCGGGAGCAGCTGATTGGAAACATTGCAAAGGCTGAAATAATACCTCAACTGAAGCCACAAATCTCAAATGAGCTAAAACGCAAGAAGCGTGGGTGCAGAGCGGGAGCAAAACGGAGACAGAGAAAGAGGAAATTCAAACCATCTCTTCCATCGATCATAATGGGCAATGTGAGATCACTGGCCAACAAGATGGAGGAACTCCAAGCCCTTTCAAGGACTCAGCCAGAGTGTCAGCAGTTTCGGAACCACTGGAGGAGATCATGCAGAGAAGGATTCTCCAGAGAATCAAGAAAATGATGGACAACCCTGAGCATTCTCTTCACAAGACTGTCCGACAACGGAAGAGTGTCTTCAGTCAGAGGCTTCTTCAGTTTGGCTGCAACACTGACCGCTACTGGAGATCCTTCCTGCCAACAGCCATGCAACAACTCTTTGATGACTTGATTATTATTATTATTATGAGCTACTACAGCAATCAATTTCCCTCTGGGATTAATAAAGTATTTTTGAACTGAATTGAAATGCAAAGGGCCATCTACATCCATGCAGGAAACTGAAGGGGGTATGGTGAGAGGACCAATATCCAGGAGAGACAGAAAATTAGAGGTCGTATTTAGAGATAAGCACCTAGAGTAACGAGCAGCCTGTCTCTGTGCTGGAGGAAGATGATGTGAGATACTGAATGAAATCGCAGCATGGTCAGAAAATGCCACAGAGTCCACAGACAGGTCAATCGCATCTAGTCCAAAAGATAAAACCAAATCCAGGGTGTGAGAGCCGGTGTGTGTGGGGACATTAACAAGTTGTTGTAATCCAAATGAGTCCAAGATGTCCACAAAATCCTTCACCAGTGGCTTCAGAGGACAGCAAATGTGGATCTTAAAATCACCCAGGATCATTCCCTGGTCACATTTAGGGAGTAAATCAGCTAAAAGATCAGAGAGTTCATTTATAAAAACACTGTTATATTTTGGTGGCCTGTAGCAGAGTACAATGAGTATAGGAGGAGAAAAACCCCAGCTCAAAAAATGAAACCTCAAAGCTGATTGGAGCCAGTGGCCTAGCAAGGGGTTTTAGGGAGAGACTGGAACAATACAGGGATAATAATCCCCAAAATCCCGGGTTTAATCGAAGATCCAACAGTGTATGCCGGTCATATTGTAAAGTAGGATGATAATCAGCCCTAAAGCAATTCAAAAACAAAAGAGACAGCATAATAGCGAGGAGCAGCAGACGTCGTGCCACAACAGTCGGCGCCATCTTAACCTGGAAGACGTAGGTCATCACCCAGTTTTGATTATGTGACAGTGTGAGCGTCCTGTCTCAGTGTCCCGAATGATCATGCGCCCTGGCTACTTGGCCAAGGGGATGTCCCTTTGGCTGACTGGTTAGAGCGTATGACTCTCGCCCGAGTCTGGGGATCGACTCCCGCCCGGGCCCTAGTTTATCCACCTTGTCACATTCACCTTTTAATTATGATGCTGTTTTGTGAAGCACTTTGTAATTTGATAGGAGCATTAAATCAAACTTTACACCTGAACAATGACTCACTGGTGACAGTTCCTTTCCTAAAACAGGAGCATAACATTTGGGGCAGCAGTAGCTCAGGTGGTAGAGCGGGTTGCCTCATGATCGGAGGGTCATGGGCTCGATTCCAGCTCCCGCCAGGGGTATCCTGCTGTTGTGTCCTTGGGCAAGACACTTCACCCAACTTGCCTGTGTTAGTGGTGGTCAGAGGGGCCGACGGCTCCAAATGGCAGCCTCGCCTCTGTCAGACCTCCCCAGGGCGGCTGTGGCTACAAGTAGCTTACCATCACTAGCAGTGTGTGAATGTGAGAGTGTGTGAAAGCGTCTTTGGGTGTCTAGAAAAGCGCTTTATAAGTTCAATGCATCATTATTATTATTATTAGAAAATCTTGACGTCTTTGTGTTTCCATGACAACGAAATAAACAGATGCAACTCCTGCTTCTCTCTGCAGGGCTCACATGAACACGTTAAATAATATTACCAATGTTTTTGTGTCCCTGGATGTCCTCCAGAACGGACCTCTCTTTGTGATACCCGTAATCTCCACCCTGAGAGTCGGTCTGGAACTCCTTGACGGCGGCCGTGGCGGCTCTACCGGAACTGACCCGGTACACCGAAGCCGAGACTCCCTGTCCCAGCCGCGACTGGACGGTCCAGATCTCTCCAAAGATCTCAAACAGCACCGGCCTGGTGCTCTGGTCCGCGCTGGCCTGTGACGGTGGGATGCCGTCCGGCGCTTGTCCCTTTGCCTTCGGCTCGGAGAAGCCGCAGTGAGCCATGGTGCAGATAGGAGGAGAGGAGCTAGCTGACAGGATGAAGGAGCTGCGGGAACATGAACCGAGATCTGCCTTAGCACCATGAGAAACGCCTGGTCACGCCAGTAAACACTTACGTCTACCAGCTTGTTGAAACAGGAACAAAGCAATGCTGCAGAATACCAAACGTTAAAATGGGCTCACCTCAGTCAGCTGTGTCGAGACAAACTTCACCAAATTAGCTCAAGTTAAACTGAGCAGAACCGAACTCCCTCCAAGGTGCACAACACAACAACCCCTCATAATGTACCGGTTAATTTATGCTATAACAACATCCTTGTGTAACTTAATAAAGATGGACGTAAGACTTCTGTGAAGTTTTCAGAGCAGTTCGCTTCTTCTTCGTCTCTTTCTTTTTTCCCCCATGTTGTTCTTCTTCTACTGATGTTTACGTAAATCCAATCGCTGCTAGATGAGTTACCGCCACCTCGTGGAAGGGAAGAGGTTTACAGGATGACGATTAGAAAACCAAATAGGTAAAAACATAAATCCATTTTTTAAATAGAACATTCAATCTAGTTTATCCATTTCTATATCTATAAAAAATAGATTTTGGTAAAATAAGGTTTCACAAAAATATTTACCGTGAATTGATTATGCTGATTATATTATGAATGATTCATTTTAAACCCCTAGCAAAATAGTAGCAAAAATGTTATATAATTAAAAGAATAAATGGATGCTAGCTGTCAAATCAAATGTTTTTTAAATAAAGAAAAAGTTATTAGTGTCTGCATTATATGGGTTGGAAGGTGACTGAAACAAAAAAAGCCAATTCATGAGATAGTGATCAGGTGAAACTCAAAAATTAGAATATGGTGCAAACATTCATTCATTTCAGTAATTTTACTTAAGTGAAAGTAATGCATGAAATGAACTCATTACATGGAAAGCCATATATTTCAAGCCTTTATTTGTTATAATTGTAATAATTATGGCTTACAGCTGATGAAAACCCCCACAGGTTTAATATTCTAGACTCATTGTCACACTCTAATCAGCTAATTAAACCATAACACCTGCAACAGATCAATTCCTGAAATAAATTGATTTTTGCACCATATTAAAATCTTTTGAGTTTCACCTGTATTTAACAGCTTTTTAGGTTGTTGCATGCATCTAGAACTTCACACACACACAAAAAAAACTAAAGCAATTGGATGACCTCAGAAATTCTGTCTGTTCTGTACAAACAGGACTATTAGCTAAAGAATCCAGAAAAATCTCTCCAGTGTATTTGCTGTATTTTGACCCTTTAGTTGTGTCTCTAGGCAAACCAGCAAAATCTCTGTGTGTTGGTGATGGTCAGAGGGGCTGATAGGACAAAAAAGCAGCTTTACCTTTTGTAAGACTGCCCCAGGACAGCTGAAGCTACGATGTAGTGCACCACCATTATGATCTTTATGTGCATGAAAATCCATTCTCTGTTTCACACTTTAGGTGCCACAAAAAGTGCTAACCCACTATTTCATAATAATAAGATGTTAAGTCATAATTATGAGCTACAGTCTCATAATAATGACTAATTTTTCCATATTTATAAGAAACTATTAGAAAGAAGAGGAAAATATGTTAATATTATATCTTATAAGTGTGAGATAAATATTAAGGATGTGTCTAATATTTTTGTGAAATAAAGCATAATAATGAGGTGCTAAGTCATATGTGTATGACATGCCAGGTCACAGTTATTAGATACTATTGCACAGTCATGACTTACATGCACTTTTTATCAATGAAGTAGCAGGTATTACTTTAGGTTATATTTTACAAACATTTTCATATTGTTCTAAATATGAATCATTTGGATGTCTACCTCTCACCTCCTGTTACCTCCAACAACTGTTTAGGCAGGTGAAAAACTATTTTATCTAGCATTGTCTGTCTGATAAAGGTTTATCTTTTAATTTCAAAATACTTCAAGAGTAAGATATTAATTTAATCTCTTTCACATCAGTTATAGAGAAACAATGTTTGAGAGGCTCCCAACTTAAATTGCTGCCTAATATGTTCTGATGCTGAATAGAACTCCAAGGAACAATATCCCTTTTATCAACATTTTCTAAGGAAAATGCGAAGCAGCAATAATCCTATTTTTATTCATTTTACCAACGTCTCTGATCCACAATTCATTGTTATTTTGATTTCCTACTATTTTGAATGAGACTTGTCTCAGGAACACTTGAGCATCCAGTCAAACTCTCTGAATTCAAGTTTGCTTTTATTATATTTGATTAGTAGCGTAGTTTTATCAGTTCGCTTAACAAGTGGGAAAACATTGTAAACATATAAACATTTTATTTAGGCAGTTTTTTTGACAGATTAGTTTGGCTTATGCCATTCCAAGTTCGATTACACAACGGTCTTTAAAAATGTGTAAAATAAAAATAAAGATAAAAAACTGGCTTTCCCCTAAAAGGGGTGGGCCTGTTTGAGACAAGGAAATGACGTCATGTCACTCCCCTCACGTGCTTCGTTGCCGACTGCGGTGCCGTTTTTGATTTTTTGGAAAGAAAACGGCGCTTCCTGAGTAAATAATCCGTGCTGGAGCACAAGAGCTGCTGCTTGTTGGTTAAGTCTGTACCCGTGTGGTGGTGAGTCGAACTGGACGGAGTCCGTTCTACTTTCATTCCTGTTTGAAACTAACCAGTCATGCACAAATGTTTCCTGATGTATCCGGAAAGGAGGGATGCGTTTTAATGGCTGTTCTTTACTGAACAAAGGTGTTTAAAAGAGACGCTTTCGTTTCGGTTAATATTCTGCCAGCTATGATTTTTTATTTAAGTCAGGAACATTTGTAGTTAATGAATAAACCCAGTAGATCACGCCTTATGTTTTGCGATTAGGTATACAAAATCGCAATGACATGTAGTAATATGTAAACCCGAGCTGGTAGCATTTAATTGTCTGTTTTTTTTTTTGGCACATTAAACTACAAATCATATCCAGTGTTGGGCAAGTTACTTCAAAACTGTAATGCATTATTTATTACTTGTTACCCTCATTTTAAAGTAATTAATTACATCACAATATTACTGATTTTAAAATGTAAGGCATTACACTACTTTTGCATTACTTTAAGTTACCTTCACCAAAACAACTTCAGTATGAATCAGGTCATGTGACGCTCAGTGAGCTCATGACATATATGTGGAAAGTGACGTGGTGTCTGAGCTAGGGTTGCTGTTAAAAACAGTCAGATGTAATAACAGTGCTTTCAAATGATTGTTTATTAAATAAAAGCAACAACAATCTGTACTCTCAGCACGCTGCCGTCTTATATTAACTGAGCAGGGAGTGAGGTGGTGGGGGCTCCAAGCCTATATTTGCCTTGGTCCCCAAATGCCTTGATACAGCCCTGGATGTGAGACTGACGAGGGTGATCTGATTCTATCACATGTGTAGCGTTATTAAGATCCTATTGTCTGAATTTATAATTATAGAAATTAAAGATTCTTAAACGATCCCAACTCTCTCTTTTCTTGTCTCTCAATCAATACAAAGTGTTTAAGTAAACTCCCTGATGATAAAAACAACCACTTCTGATTATAATATTTAGATCTAATTGCAGTGTATAAATATACAAACTACAGATCACTACACATGTATAAATATTAAATGCTTATATTGCTTTTCACTTGTGAAAATGTGTGTTGGGGATAAATCTACCTACTTTTTTCTTTTTTTCTTGATTTTATTTGAATAATTTCCTGCCCTTTCTCTCTCTAACCTTCCTGCATGCTGCATGTTTTCTCCGTCTTCCAGAAAAACTGTTTCCTAGACTTCCTACTTTCTAACGATCAGCCAAAGGGATCTTCACATGCGCGGCGCTCCAGCAGCAATGAGTTGAAATCACTGGGGCACAGATTATGAACTCAGCTGAGGCAAAGCACGTCAGAAAAGCACAAAATACCAGAGAATATGCGCTGATATGAACGACCGCAAGTGAATTATTTTGTTTTAGTGGAGCGATTGGTTACAGCGGCCGCGTGGACGCAGCTGAGCCGTTACCGCGGCGTCCTCTCTGCCCGCAAAGCTGAGTCCATAAATGACGTAATAAATGCAGATACTGGATCTTTCTTCGGGTTTCCCGCAATTTGAATTTTTAAGGAACACATCTTGATTCTGGGTTTAAAAATGCGTTGTAATTACTGCGTTACTGACAACTGTACCGAGTAAATATTACCATTTTCTTTCCCTGTAATGCCTTACCACATTACAGCAAAAAGCAATGCATTACAGTAATTAATTACTTTTGTACCACATTACTCCCAACACTGATCATATCTGTTAATTTGTTTTCAGCTGTTATAATAAATACCACAGAATTAGTATTTACTGTTGAGGTTTTGTGTGTTTGTTCCTAATGAGGGCGGATAAAGCACAATCAGATTATAGAAGAACTAAATTACGGTTTGATCTACAGCCACTAAAAAGCCAAGGCAGCTTTATTTCTGTTGCACGTTTCATATGCAGAAGCGATTCATCGTGTTGCTCACCAGGTGGAAGAACATGAAACATTCAAGTCAAAGGAACAACATAAAACAACAGATTTTTAAAATTTAAATTAAGAAAAAAATTAGATGTAAGAGATGAGTTGTCCAGTAATCGGAAGGTTGCAGGTTCGATCCCGGCTCCGGACAGAGAATTCTGCTGTTGTGTCCTTGGGCAAGACACTTAACCCCCCTTGCCTGCTGGTGGTGGTCGGAGGGTCCGGTGGCGCCTGTGCTCGGCAGCCTCGCCTCTGTCAGTGCGCCCCAGGGCAGCTGTGGCTACATCGTAGCTCATCACCACTAGTGTGTGAATGAGTGTGTGAATGGATGAATGGTACACTGTAGTGTAAAGCGCTTTGGAGTCCAAGTGCGGGTCATTTATCATTAAATAAAAAGGCAAAGTTAAAGTGTGAGCAGTTACATTGTAGAAGGTACAGAATAAGAAACCGTCATTCAAAGGCTGATAAATACATGAAAGTTTTCAATTTTGATTTAAAAGTTACCAGAGTTGGGGCCCATCTGAGTCCATCTGTGTGCAGATGTGTCCAAGACAATCCAGGACCCCCCAATCCCAACTCCTACCCATATACTCAAGTGATTAATTACAAAGTTAATACAGACATACAGAATTACAACTATACAGAGTTTTTTGGGTGTGTTTTGGGGATTTGATGAATGTAATTTTTACAAATGTAATCTTGGTATCCTCGCAACCCTCTTTTTTGTGTGTGTGTGTGTGGGGGGGGGGGGGGGGGGGGGTGTCACAGATCCCAGTTTGGGAACCACTGGACTAGTTGATAAAGGCTTACCTTGGAATTTGATTCTTTTTCTGCAGGTTAAATCTGTGTTTGTGAGCCAAGTTTTGTGTGCTTGTCCGTGTTTAGGTATTGTGGAAAAACATGAGTGACTTTGCAGTTCTCAACACAGGGTGCAAGATGCCCCTGATTGGACTGGGAACATGGAAGAGTGAGCCAGGAAAGGTGAGCCAGACAGGCCGTCTCTTACCTCTGTTCCCTCATACAGCTCAACACCTTAGTCGTTTATTTTTCTAGCTGAAATTGCTGCAACACAATAATAATATCTTAAAGCCGTACTGCAAAGTTTTATATTTTTAAATAATTTTCTTGAGCCAGTATGTGCTAAAATGACCCTTTACAAGGTTAATGAAAGGCCACCCAGCCCCGATCGCCCCCTGTGGCCAGAATATTCCACTTGCAACTTCAGACAGGTGGGCCGCACTTTTGGGAAAAAATTGAGCCGACACACTGACAGACTGGTTCCAGCTCATTTCCTGCGTGTCTTAGATCATGAACACCGCTGATTTGTTTAAGTTAGCGATGAATCACTCCTGTAGAAGGCCGGGAGACATTCCAGCTGTTGGATTAGAGATAACAAACACACAGCGAGGAGATAAATTTTGCTTCTACAATTGGACACTAGGGGGTATAAAAGCAAGCAAAACTGCCTAGTGTGCCTTTAAGATCTATTAATAATCTGGGTTATTTTGTTTATAATTTTCTCTTTTTTCCGTTCCCTTTTGAACTATTAATTACTGTTATTTGTGTTAATGCTGCTAGACCTGGAAATTCTGCTTCTGTTGGAAAACAGAACTTCCCAGAGGACTCTTTCCAGGGGAATGTGTAATAATAATGTGTACATTACTGTGTTTTGTTTTGCTGGGTGCCTGCCTTGTTAGTAATTATTAGAACAGAATAGACTTTATCAATCCCACAGTGGTGAAATTCACCAGCTATGGCAGCACACACACTTAGGGATGGGTACCTTTGACATTTGAATCGATCCGGTACTAATTCCCGGTACCTACGAATCGATACCGGTACTTAACGGTACCAATTTTCGATACTTTTGTGTGTTTATTATTTTAATTCTCTTTTATAATTAAATATATATTTTTCTCAATATATAACCATATTTGATATATATCACGATAAATAACATTCAACTGTTTGTATTTTAACATCGTCCTTGTAGTTTTATAAGCTGATAATTAAACTGAAGCAAACATCTTTACTGTGAACTAAATTTCCTGTGTATCTTCATTCCTTTTGCCGTCCTTTTTCATTTGATTTTTCCTACTGGGAAGTTAGAATTTCTGAGGAGAAAGCAAACGCACCATTAGCTGATAACAATGGTAGCAATGGAAGCTAACATACCAAGCTAACGTTATCTTAAACAGTTTATTTAGCTGCTGGAGCAGATTAAAACGATGATGCCTCACACTTAGATCGTTGTCACTGGTTTCGTCTTCACCCAATTACCCGTCACATTTAGTAAAGTGAAGCTAAATTTTAGAGCGCGTTCATGTTCTTCTAGTCGGGAATTCGGAGTTCCGAGGAGAAAGCGAACGCACCATTAGCGAAACGGAAGCTAACATATCAAGCTAATTTTATTTACCTACCGGAGCAGATTAAGATGAGGATGTCTCACTTAGATCGTTGTCGCTGGTTTCATCATCACCCAGTTACCCATCACATTTAGTGAAGTGGACCCAAGCTTTAGCGTGCGTTCTTTCTACCATGCTGCTCTGTTTACAACTGGCTCGCAGCGAGCGACGACATAACGCTCTTGCGCATGCACAGCTGTCTAGGCAAGTTCTCGTTGTGATGGACGGGTACCGAAACGAGGCACAGTTTGAAATGACGTGAATCGGTGCTCGGTCGATACTATGGAATTTGGTCGGTATCTTAAAAAGTCAAAGTCAAAGTCAAAAAAGTCAAAATCATTTATTGTCATATTCTCCACATGTGCAGGACATACAGAGAAATGAAATTCAGTTTCAGCACACACAATTCAAAGATCAGACATACGTGGGTAAGACACATAACAAGAATTGGTGACTGCGGTCATTCGCAACATGAGTCGCGCTACCTTAATAGTTAGATGAAAAGGGTGTTACATGAGGAAAGTTCAGGGAGGGAGAAAAAAAGGCATTAACAGGGTTACACCAGCAGGGTGTAGCCCTCCAATGCAAAAAAACACCCGACATGGAAGCACAGACAGCACGTATACAACATCAGAGTCCGATGGGGAGGTGGGGGTGGGCGGGATCCTGAAGCCTCCAATGGGAGCTGCCACTGCGGCGCATCGACCAGCTGCAGAACAACAGGTGGGAGGGAGAGATAAGGACCAGAGAGCACATTGAAGCCCTGCAGACATGTCAGCCTGAAGGAAGAGGGTGAAGGTCGGGACACAGCATCTGTCGGCATTCCTCCTTTTGTGGGGGTGTGTTGAGGCAGCCTTGAGAGGCTGCTATGGCATCAGATAAGGATAAACATGACTTTGTTTAGGGCAGACAGAGATAATCTTCCTCTCCGCCTTGGAGTCTATAACCGGTCATTCATGTCCACCAGTGAAGCCAATTTTACATTTCACATCCCCGCATCGTCCGGCGACCCTCTCCGAGATCAAATCCATCTTACACTAACACAGGCAACGCCGCAAGGACATTGTCCAGCTTACGTTTCACCTCGAGTAACGTCCCAGTCTGTGAGGTCACCGCACGAGCGGCGGTACGGGTCGCACTCCAATCACTCCCGTCTTCCCAAATTTCCAGAAAACCAGATATCCTCCCACTCCAATCAGAAGAAATCCAGTGATCATCAGGCCGAATATCCACAAATCTTCCACGTCCTCGATGGACAGCTGAGAGAGGCACACGATTCGCCAGACCTCCCAAGAATCGAGTGCATATCCCAATGCGAATGTCCCCTCGGGACAGGTGGGAGCCCCCTTCTCCGTTCTCATCGTAGAGAAAATTTTGTCAATCGCGTTGAATGACCAGTTAATTAAGTCCATATTTCCAAAAAAGAGTAGTGGTTTCAGGAGAAATGCAGAGAAGTGCTCTGTAGGCAGACAGGACAAGAGCCTTGGGGAAGCCGATAAGGAAGCTGAGAAAAAAGCGTCTGTACTCTCTGAAGGCTGAGAAGAAAAAGTACCGGATTCGGTACCCATCCCTAAAATAAAAAATAAGATTACAGGTAAACACTCAAAGACAGTAAGTTGTTATTATTGTAACCAACCACTAAAAACAATTAATAGAAATGAAACTTGTCTTTCCAGAACTATGCAGCATTAAAGACACAGACTTACTAATGTACAACTGGTATTGCACAAGAGATCCAAGGTTAACAAGTTATTGTCCTTTTAGAAAGTTTACAACAATTTTAATCCTACAGTTTTAGAGCGTTGACATTTGAGTTCCTTTTCTTGTTGGTGTTGAACCAGCTGTGCTCTCATGCACAGGTGAAACAAGCAGTCATTTGGGCCCTGGAGGCTGGTTATCGTCACATCGACTGTGCAGCCATCTATGGGAACGAGGCTGAGATCGGAGAGGCTCTGCAGGAGATGCTCAGCCCAGACAAGGTAAAGTAGTTTAACTATTTTACTGCCTTAAGGCAGAACTTTAGTGTTTTTATGGGGCCATCAAAACCCCTGGTAAAGACACCATTGTGCTTCGGCTTTATTAGAATGAATTGTACTCGTGTGTTGGTAACTAGGGGGTGGGAATCTTCAGGAACATCACGATTCGATTCCATTACGATTCAGGGAGCTCCAATTATTGATGTATCTTTCTCCTCCCTCACCTGGTTGCCAAGTGATTACGTGGTACTTAAGAAAAACATTTGTAATGATGAAACATTAATTTACTTCCAATATATTTTATTAACAGAAGTATCAGTGTAATGTTTTAAAGAAAAGAAGTGCGGTCATTAACAGCTTCCAAACAAAATGATGCAGGATGTCCAATTGATCTGAACATGAATAACTCTACTTTTTCAAAAAATAAATACGATTAGACAACAACATTTTGAGTATAAATACCCTTAAAAAGAACTTCAACTAAATGTATAAATAAATGCATAAAACAGGGAAAAAATGGCATACAAACACAAATCTTTTGCGATAAAACTTGCTATGTGCTTTGTAATTCTGTTGGCCTTTTCCGAGTTTGGTGGAAATTTTAACAAGGCCTGCTCAATGGTGTTCTGGTTGGTGGCGGCAGCCGCAGCTAATGGCGTCTTTTTGTCGTCCGGGTGAAAAACGATCAACGTGGTTTCTCATGTTTGTTGTTTTTCCAAAATCAGTTGTTTTACACAACTTGAATGATGTATGGCTTTTGTCCAGGTCCCTTTTCCCCTCAAACTTATAAAAACCAAAGTAATTCCATACGCTTGCTTTTAATGTTGGTGGTGCTGGTCGTATTCCTCAGCCATGTTGTCCTGTGCATACTGTATCCTTTCCGTCCAAGTACCCGACTTCGTTTTAGCTGAGTTCCGCTTTTAGTGCCTCGTCATTAATAAAATCGATTGTTTTACTTTTTCAAAATCAATTGATAATCGTTCATGTTCACATCTCGATGCATCTAATAAACGAGTTTATCTCCCATCCCTACAATGGAGGCCCTCAGGTTGCATATGTTTTATACTGAGAGCAATTTTAGTCGTACAACGACCCACGTCAGACACCAGGATGTTGGCTCTAGAGCTGAAAAACAACAGACTATCCCTGAAGAGGAGACGTGGGTCTGACTGTGTTAGTTACCTCGTGTACTTCTATTCCAGATTACAGATGTTAGTTAAAGCAAGCAGAGTAACAGACTAGTAGAGAAAGAAAATCCGGTATCCCTAAGTTTCTAAATGCTGATGTATTTGTTCACCAGTCCCTCAGAAGAGAAGATGTCTTCATCACTTCAAAGCTGTGGAACACGAAGCATCACCCAGAGGACGTGGAGCCGGCCCTCCTGAAGACGTTAAAGGATCTGAAGCTGGAGTACCTGGACCTCTACCTCATCCACTGGCCTTACGCATTCCAGTGAGCACCAAGTTTTCAGACGTTGTCCTGAGACAAACAGACTCAATCTGCTAAATAAATAGACTAAAATATTGAATATGGTAGTCTGGTGTTCTGTTAAATCATGTTACATGTGTTCATGTACCCAAAACTGTATTTCCTCTCTCATGTTGGCTAGACGAGGAGAAATGACCTTCCCCAAAAACGAGGACGGCACTTTGTTGTACGATGACACGGACTACAAGCTGACCTGGATTGCCATGGAGAAGCTGGTGGAGAAGGGCCTTGTTCGCTCCATCGGCCTGTCCAACTTCAACTGCAGGCAGATTGATGACATCCTGTCCATGGCCAGCGTTAAACCAACAGTTGTTCAGGTACTTGCTGTTTGTGCTGATGGTGGGTGCAAGGTAGCTGTGGTGACACAAGCATCTCTGTGAATGTGTCTGCCAGGTAGAGAGCCATCCATACCTGGCCCAGGTGGAGCTGCTGGCTCACTGTCGGGATCGAGGTCTTGTGATGACAGCATATAGCCCGCTCGGGTCTCCTGATCGGGCATGGAAACATCCCGATGAGCCCCTCCTGCTACAAGAACCAGTGATTGCTTCGCTTGCACAGAAATATAAAAAGTCCCCGGCTCAGATCATCCTGAGGTGAGTTTAAAATGGTACAAGTTTTCCTAACGTGGATCAAAATACACAAAACTTAAAAATATGTGTACGTATGTAAAAATAGATGTACACATCTACAGTTTATGTACAATGTAAGCTGTAGGACATGCAACAAGAGGTCAGACACTGTTAAAACTACATGTAGTGACAAGAACATCATATAAAAGTAAAAGAGGGTTAGCAGCAACAGTTTGTTCCTTATTGAGACGGAGGATATGTAAAGAGTAAAGGAGGGAGCTATGGGAGCAGCCTTGTGGAGTTACAGTGTTCAGCACAAAAGTGAATGACCTTATCCTGACACTGTGGAGTCGGTTACCGTTTCGTTTCGTTTTATTGAGATCCTCATTAGCTTCTGCCTAAGTGCAGATGCTAGTCTTCCTGGGGTCTCATACATTTTCATACAGTTGTTTACATGAGATAATACCCTTTACTCACAAACACACACACACATTCACGCACACACATCCCTAATTCCCATAATACCAGTAGCTCAAGATGAAATCACATATCTAGAACAAAATTACATATATAAACTAATATCGGGAAAGGAGTTAATCACACCAATAAAGATTGAAAATAAAATATAACAGAATGGTGACATCATGTCCATTGTTTCGTATCATAGTTCATCGATATCCAGTACTCGACCTCAAACACAGATTTTCAATCCTTCGTTGCAGAGTTCATAGTCACTATACAATTAGGTGTGTAAACAAAAAAATTTTCAGTTTCTTATGAAAAGAAATGTTATTACTTTCAAAAATTAAAAATCTAGGTAATGCATTCCATGCAAGCATAGCTTTATAGTGAAAAGATCGTTGAATTTGATTTGTTCTACTGCGTGGTAAAATACATTTCATCTCATTTATCTGTCGTGTATTATAAGTATGATTATCTGAAAAAAACATTAATTTGCTATGTATAATTTTTGGTGTTTTTGTAATTATTATTTTCCTCACAGTTGTTACCACGAAATACTTTAGTCTACTCTTCACATCAAGCCAAGCAAGTTTTTCATGCATCGTTCCCACATTTGTTCTGTAAGGGCAGCCTAAAACAATACGAGCAGCTTTATTTTGTGCAACTTGTAGCTTATGCAAATTATTTTCACTTGTACTGGACCAAATAACAGATGCTTGATCTACACAAGAAAGCACTAATGATTGAACAAGGCATTTAAGTAAATATTGTGGTATAAATTTGCAACAAAATTTTATTATGCCCATACCTCTCCCCATTTTGCGTAAAACATAATTAATCTGGCTTGTCCATGATAATTTACAATCAACTATAACTCCTAGTAATTTTACTTCTTCTAGTTGTTCTATTATGTTGTTACTCAGGGTTAAATGTAACTTTGGCATCGTCTGTAAAGTATGTTTGGAGCCAACTACCATGCATTTAGTTTTTCCTGCATTAATCACTAATTTGTTAGCAGTTATCCACTGCTCGACTGTTCTTAACTCTTCATTTAATATTTCATTCAATGCACTCCGTATGTGCTGAAGCTAAAACAGTAATATCATCTGCATATACTGCTGTAGTCGCATGTTGCAGCACCCACGGAAAATCATTCAAAAAAATAGAAAACAAAAGTGGTCCCAAACAACTTCCCTGTGGAACACCACATTCCATCAGACCCTTTTCAGAAAAACTGCCATTGAAATAAAATTGATATTCTCTGTCAGTAAGATAACTTTTAGTCCAGTTAAGAGCAGATGTATGAAATCCATAGTTACCCGTGTTACCTAAATGGACATGCACTCTGACCTGTCTAGTTATCTGTGGCAGCTTGTGAGGGATATCTGTGTTCCACTGATCCAGATGTGTGGAGGGACGTTCAGTTTCACCCTGCATGCTAGATTAGGTTGAAGGCCTGATGTCAGGGTATCCGCGGGTCCTTAAAAAGTCTTAAATTTGCTTTTCCAAATTTAAGGCCTTGAAAATCCTTAAAAGTGACAAATAATCCTTAAATCCAGTTTCCAAAGGTCTTAAATGACCAAAGACCAAATAAACAAGATTATTTTATTTCTATAAAATTTTCGTGAGTTTCCAGTGTTCTGCATTTTTTGTGTACGATGTTGGCGTAAGCGGAACCGTAGACGTTCAGTTGGTTGTGAAAGGGGGCTATTTTTAGATGAGCACATTAGCTGGTTAAGCTAGTGGGAGATTGCACCATGGGGAAGTGAAAGTTTAATGGTAACTGGATGGCTAATCCCACGTTCTCTGAAACTTGGTTCAATAAGAATAAGGGAGTTAATTTCCATATAGATGATTATAATCTTGAATATGTAAACAGGAAAAATCAAACAGGAGGTGGGGTTGTGCTATACATCCATAAAACAGTACCGTTTACGGTGAAAAAGCACACGTCATTAGCTTTGGATGACATAATGGAATGTTTGACGGTGGAAAATTCTTAATGAAAAGAAAGAAAACATTATTGTAAGTTGTATATACAGGCCACCCGGTTGGAATAGGGACGTCTTTTAAGAAAGGATGGAGAGTATTTTTTCTACAGTGAACAAAAAAAACAACAAACCTATGTGGTGACTTCAATATTGATTTGTTGAACCCAACCAAACTTAAAACAACTGTAATCACCAAACTAAGTAGAATAACAACACACAGTGCCAAAATTATTGATAATATCTTTACTAATGATATGGCAGATGATGTAATCAGTGGTCTCTTCATATCTGATATTACTGACCATTTGCCCATTTTTATCAACACTGGGAGTGAAGTAAAGAAAGACAGAGAACCTGTCATGGTCACCTACAAAATAATAAAAACAAAGGAAACCATTAATGCTTTCAATAATAGCTTGTCGTCACAGGATTGGAGTTTGATTTATAGAGAGACCGATGTGGACAAAGCATATAACTCCTTCTTAGAAATTTTTGATTCCTTATATAATAAATACTCTCCCATTATAAAATGCTCCAAGAAAAATAAATCTAGATCTCCTTGGCTTACAAAAGGAATATTAAATGCTTGTAAAAAGAAAAATAATCTTTATTAAAAAATTTATCGATTCCAAAACTAAAGAAGCAGAACAACGATAAAAGAAATACAAAAATAAATTAACTAATATAATAAGAGACGGTAAAAACCTGTACTATAGGAGTATAATATATGATAACAAAAATAATCTAAAAAGAACATGGGACATATTGAATGGTTTGATTAAATACAAATCCACAAAGACAGGATATCCAAACTATTTTCGAGATGCACATGGAAACAAATGTAATATGGAATTAGCAATAGATAGCTTCAATTAATTTTTTGTTAATATTGGACCACATTTAGCAGGTGAAATTCGAGACATCCCAATTGGACAATTTAATGAAAAGATTAAAGTAAACACACACTCAATGTTTCTTGCTGCTATAACCGAACAAGAACTTATAAATTTTGTTTATGAATGCAAAAGCAAACAATCTACTGACTGTCATGACATAGATATGTTCCTGGTGAAAAAAGTTATAAATCATATCTCCAAACCACTCACCTACATTTGTAACTTATCATTTCAAACCGCTACTGTTCCAAACAAAATGAAAATTGGTAAAGTCATACCAATCTACAAAAATAATGATAAACACGTTTACCAACTATAGACTGATCTCATTGTTGCCTCAGTTTTCAAAAATCTTGGAAAAACTCTTTAATACACGACTAGAAATTTTCATTGATAAACATCACATAGTTAATGATGGACAATATGGCTTCAGAAATAAAAGAACTTCTATGGCTGTAATAGATGCCGTAGAAGCAATCACCAGTGCACTTGACAACAAAAAATATGCAAATGGAATTTTTATTGACTTCAAAAAAGCTTTTGATACAATAAATCACTCAATTCTGCTTGACAAATTGGAAATATATGGAATTAGATGAGTGGCATTGAACTGGGTAAGACGTTATTTAAGTGGAAGGGTACAGTTACTTGGACAGAAAAAGTCAAAAAATCTTGACATTGTTTGTGGTGTACCCCAGGGATCAGTACTGGGACATAGTTTGTTCAATTTGTACATCAATGATATTTTTGAAACATCTACATTACTAAAATTTATTTTATTTGCAGATGATACAAATATATTTTATAGCAGTGACAATTATCCAAATCTTATTAAAAAATAAATGAAGAATTGATTGTTGTTAAAAGATGGATGGACAGCAATAAGTTGTCTTTAAATTTAAACAAGACTAAAGCAATAAAATGTGGTAATCAAGAAACAAAGTTTGAGTTGCCAACAAATATGGATGGTTTTAAAATTGAAATGGTTCAAGAAAGCATATTTTTGGGAATCACAATAGACAGTAAACTGTCATGAAAACCTCACATCAGACACACAAAACAAAAAATCTCAAAAAGTCTAAAGCCAAGTCATTTCTTGATTGCAACACACTTCGTGTGTTGTATTGCTCCTTAGTTCTCCCTTATTTTACTTATGGCGCTGAGGTATGGGGGAATAATTATCAATGCTCCTTACAGCCTCTTTATAGATTGCAAAAAAGAGCGGTCCGTATCATAAATAAGGTTGGATTCTTAGAACACACAAATCAACTTTTTTACAATCAAAATTATTAAAATTACAGGATATAATTAAATATCAAACAGTTCTTTTCAAAGCATTTAATAAACTTCTACCAAATAATTTACAAAAGCTATTTATAATTAAAGAGCTGTCACATAGCCTAAGGAGAGATAGAATATTTAAATTACCAATGATGCGAACAACACGTAAAAGCTTTTGTGTGTCTGTGAGTGGGATCAAAATATGGAATAACGTAAAGACTGATCACAAACAATGTCAAAATATTCAGATTTTTAAAGCACACTAAAGAACAGTTTGGTTAAAATACGTTACAAATGAGAATGGGCAATGATGTGAGTAAAGGTGTATGGGAATATATAATTAATGATATTGACAAGAATTGTTAAATTGTCTAGACTACCATTATTATTATTGTTATGATTTTCTTTGATCATAAGGTTGTTGAATTTGAGTTTTTTCTACATATTGAATGTTAAACTATTAGTGAAAAATAGGGGTGGGCTTGAATAAGCTTGGCTTCTGCCCACTCACTTTCGAACATGCCTACAACAATGTCAACTTGATTTATTATTGATTTATCTTGTGAGGTTTATTATTGATTTAAATCTTGTTAATTGTGATGTTATTGGCATGTTGGAAATAAATAAATGATGATGATGATTGATGTTATTGTGTACCAGGATAATACTAGTACAGCTTAAACTGATGAGTTATACACTCTTACTGCAGAGGGGATGAATGACCTACGGTAGTGTTCCGTTTACATCTGGGATGTCTCAGTCTGCCTCTGAAGGAGCTGTCCATGGTCTCCACAGTAGGATGCAGTGGGTGGGAATTTCTTTTTTTAAAAAGGAGCTCATCTTCCCCCAGCATCCTTCTTTCTCATGTTTCCACTGAGTCCAGTGGGCAGCTCAGAGCTAGCTTTGTAAACTAGCTTGTTCAGTCTCTCTGGGTGGTGTAAACACAGTCCAGTGTGTTATTTCCTCTTGTTGGAAAGTCAATGTGTTGCTGTATTTTTGGAAACATGCACTTTAGGTCTGCATGGTTGAAATCCCCAGCCAAGATGAGAAAGGCATCAGGATGGGCTGTCTGCTGCTCACTGATGCGCTGGTACAGAGGATTACAGAGGATTACAGAGGATCTCTCCTGGATGAACAACACCATAGCATTGGCGAGGAAATCACAGCAGCGTCTCTTCTTCCTCCGCAAACTAAGAAGAGCAAGAGCACCAGCCTCCATCCTGTACACTTTCTACAGAGGCACCATCGAGAGCATCCTGTCGTGCGGCATCACTGTGTGGTTCGGAGCCTGCAACGTTTCATGCATTAAAACCCTCTAACGTATAGTGAGAGCAGCAGAGAATGTCATTGGGGTCTCTCTCCCCTCCCTACCAGACATTTACAGCACCCGCCTCACAAAAAAGGCCCTTCGCATTGCGGCTGATCCCACTCACCCGATGCAAAGCCTCTTCGAGCTGCTGCCGTCAGGGAGGAGACTGCGGAGTCTCAAGGCCAGGACCAACAGACTGAAGGACAGCTTTATCCATCAGGCAGTTAGGAAGCTAAACTGCCTCCCGGCTCTCCCCCCTCTCCTCTCTTTTCCCCCACAGTCTCTGAACTTGGTTCCTGTTTTTATACTAAATGTTTATTTTCTATCTAGCGAGAGTTTGAGAGCAACGTAATTTCATTTCTCTGTATGTCCTGTACATGTGGCAGAAGTGACAATTAAACTGACTTTGACCTTTTTGACCTTTGACCTTCCTGTCTCGGTCAGAGCTGCCTGCACCTCAACAGACCACAGCAGGATGGATAACAGAGCCTACAACCGTGTGATAAAAGGGTTTTAGCAGATGGGAATTAACTCCGAAGGACCTCAGCCTCCTCAGGAGGCGGCTTTGGCTCTTCCTAAACAGAAGCTTGGTTGAAAAGCAGTGTCTGACTTTCATTGGTTAAATTTCATAGAATTTTTATTTAGTGTTACTTTTGTCAGATTTAAGTTATTTCTGTGACCATTGTAGGTTTTTCTTTCATTGACCAAAGGGTACCAACAGTTTTTGCTATGTCCACACATTCCTAAAACCAGGCTTTTTGTTCTCAGGGATAAAATGTTCTTTTCTAATGGTTGAAAAATCTAAATGTTGACATGTTTACAACACAACACAGTTTGTTCTGTAAAAAGCACGGATGTGAACTTCACATTAGCAGCTGTTTTTGTAAATGTGGCTACAGAAACTCCAGCACATTTGATCTCATCTTTCCAGATGGCAGACACAACGAGGGGTAGTCACAATTCCCAAGAGTGTAACAAAATCCCGAATCCAGGAGAACATTCAGGTGTGTGAAATTTCCTCACGAGTGATTTGTTCTACGAGTCGCACTGAGGTTCAGTTTTACTGTAAAATGAGAAGCTAACTCTGGTGGAAACATGTACATGCTTGTAGTTTAGGTTAAAGGCTGATTAACATCACATTTGCTGGCAGGTGTTTGACTTTAACCTGGAAGCAGAGGAAATCAAAACCATCACAGCCCTGAACAGAGGCTGGCGCTACATTGTACCGATGATTCAAGTAAGTCAACTCAATATTCTGCTGTTCCTAGAGATTTGTATTTATATTTTACCTTCACATCTAAAAAACAAGATTACTTTTAGAAAGCTAAAGGTGTCCGACTCTAGAAGTTAAACTGAAATGAATCGGCTCAGTCCCAACAAGCCATGTTCAGAGAAACCGCTAGAAGAGCACTGACTTTGGTTCTGTTGCAGGTGGAAGGAAAACATGTTCCCAGAGATGCAGGACATCCTTACTACCCCTTCAGTGATCCCTACTGACAATTTCACACTGAAACCTGAATTTGTGCCTTCAACAGCCTTCCAATATCACTGATCATCGCTCCTCAGTCCTGCCGCTGTTGTCCGTCACTACTTACAATCAAACAACAATTATGGAATTTAACAATGTTCAAGTTCCCTGCAGGTAGATACATGTAAAGTGATTGTTTGCAAACCTGTTTCTATTTTTAAATAAAAAAATTTGTTACTTCAAATCTAAGTAGAATTAATTATTTGCTGGTGTTTATAATATCCAGCTTGCTGGATGGTTCAGATTTCAAATATCTAAAGTAATTAAAATAACAATGTAAGCATAATCCACAGTTCATGTTAGATGAAGACAGGAGTTTTATTTAACTCATGTACTTTATTTATATAGAAGTCCAGTTAACTGATCTTACATGTCTGACAGTATTCCAGATCAAAGATTCATAAAGTATAGTGAATTTACGAATGTTCAAGGCTAGTCATATGAGGTTCTCTGCTGTAGAGCAGAGGTTAATCCATATAGAGGTAGTAATAATGGGAAGGATGTCGGTTTGGGTCTGGTCCTCCATCACTTGCTGGCTTTCTCTGCACGTCGTCTAGGAGCCCTGTGTTTGCTGTTCTGTAAAATCCAGACATACATATAAATACGCAGACAGAGGGAAATGTGAGGACAATGCTGTTAATTCAATTCAATTTTATTTATATAGCGCCAAATCACGACAAGCGTCGTCTCAAGGCACTTCACATAGTAAACATTCCAATACAGGTCAGTTCATTAAACCAATAAGAAAGACGTTTCCTATATAAGGAACCCAGCGAATTGCATCGAGTCACTGACTATTGTCAGTGACTATACAGCAATCCTCATACTAAGCACAGGAAGAAACCTCCAGAGGATCCTGGATCATCGAGAAGACAGAGCAGACACACACACACAACATATATACAGTACCAAGTAATGTTTCCATGGTTACATTGTGATTTCTTAGTAAATATTATATTTGGTGAGAGATAAACTTTATTGTAGTTATCCTAGTGAATCTATAATTAAACGGGTAAACTAGTAGTATGTCAAATAAAGTAAAATGTTATCAGGAGAGGGAGAATGTTTTAAGTGGTTAGCAACAGTTCGAGACGATGGCCCCCTCCATGAGGCTACCACAGCTCAGCAGAACATCGTTGTAGCTTCTGGGGGGGAAAACTCTTAGAGAAAAAATAAAGTTAACAGCTGAAATTGCTGAAAATAATACAGTTAAAGAGCAGATTGTAGAAGAAAGTAGTAGAGTGTAGAAAGTGGTCAGTGTATCCTCCAGCAGTCTAAGCCTATAGCAGCATAATTACAGAGATAACTCTGGATAACCTAGCCTTTTAGATGGAGGCATGTTGGAGGCAGGGCAAGGGAGAGCCGTCTTTACCGACTGTACACTCCACCTCCCTGTACTCCCCCACTTGTCCAGATCTAGGCTAACATCAGAGTTTAACCATAGGCCCTATCAAATAAAAATGTTTTAAGCCTAGTCTTAAAAGTAGACAAGGTGTGTGCCTCACGGACTAAAGCTGGGAGTTGGTTCCACAGGAGAGGAGCCTGATAACTAAAAGATCTGCCCCCCATCTTATTTTTAGATATTCTGGGAACCACCAGTAAACCTGCAGTCTGAGAGCGAAGTGCTCGGTTAGAAACGTATGGAACAATCAGGTCACTGATTTTTAGAGGGTCTGGTGAGTGGCTGAATCCTGACTGAAGGAGGAGCAATGGGGTTTGTGTGTGAACATGTATACAGTACCTGGAGGGTGTCCTTTAGCCTGGTGTATCTGTAGTTTGGTGGTTCCAAGCTGCGCCGTAAGCAGGAGTAGAGGTGGTCGCTGCTGTCAATGAAGTGTTTCGTCATGGAGAGTTGCTGTTTCAGCATTTCATTCAGAGCAAATGCAGCTGGGTCAGACATGTAGATGGCTGAGGGACAGAAAAACAAGTCAGTGTGACTGCAGTGGTGTACAACGTTCTCCACTTTAGTTGGATTTATGGCAAATACACTAACACGACATCTGACAGTACAGAGAACAGAGGAGGTCTTTTACATTCTTACATAGCAGGACATAATAAATATGAACCTCAAGAGTACAAATCGCACACAACAGATTCTACCATGGTGTGATTCTGCATTCTGAAAGGTGCTATTCAAGTGCAGGTCATTCATCTTTCATATCACAGTCAGTGTGGTGTGCCCCTGAAGGCGCTGAAGCCTACAAACACCCCATCCCTGCCTCAGGCCTCTGACACTTAAAGCCACGGCAGGTCCTGGGTCCAGAACAAGCCACCTAGCCCCACCTGGACCTGACACTACCACGACGACGATCCACCACAACCTCTACAGATGTTTGGTGAATGGCCAAACCACTGAACTCATCTCTTGGAAGAATTCATTTCACCCACAGAAGAACTAGTGACAGAGCACTACTGTAGATTGAAATAGTCGTGAAACAGGAGAGGACGTTTATGGCTGACTACTACCTAGATGTTTGTGGCTCGTACCTTCTAGTCTTGCTGCACTGATGGCATGAGTTACCACAGGTGGAGGGTTCAAGTAGAGTCTAGCCACTGTGGGGTCCAGGGTAGCCATGCCTGCAAGGAGACAGCAGCTATGGGTCAGAAACAGGCAACCATATTAGTTATCAGTTTCAGAGATGACCCTGATCACTAAAGGGTCTCTGACTCTGCTACATCCAGTTTGTACAAACACCAAATTAGAAAGACTAACCAGTTGACCATGAGTCCTTCATTGGACGAGGCTGTGTCTGGACGGCTGCATCTCTCACAGCCTTTGCACCTGAACTGTACCTCCTTGGTGACCGATAGGAGCTTTGGCTGCTGGGTGATGCTGAGGAACCAGGATGTGAACTTTTGCCGACCGGCATTGATTTCCGGCTGCGCTCGGAGATCTGTGAGGAGCTGAGGTCACTTGGGTCAGACAAAGTGCTGGAATCTATGTCTCTGGTCCTTTCGTCCCGTGTCACCAGTGATGCTGCTGCTCCTTCATCTCCACTGACATAACTATCAAAGTCACTTTGGTAGTTCAGCGCCTCCTCCACCTGCTCCTCCTCCTGTGGTGCCTGCCGGTGTTTGTTCCAAGATCCAGAAACTGGGTCCTTGAGTTTCCTTTGATTCTGCTTAAAAACAGAAATAAAGCACTAGTTTGTTATCCAGGATAATGGACAAGATCCCAGACGGAAACAGGAATGTCTATAAAACAGTCGTTAGGGTATTACTGAGTCACAGAGGATGGTTTTGTTGAACATGCATGTGGGAATAGGGACAACAGTCAACACTGAGACTGTAGCTCTTATGTGACATGCTGGGTTTTTCTAGTATTGCTTGTTTGATTAAAAAAATAATAACTTTTTGGGTGTTTTCTACCTCTTTTCCTGATGTTTCTGAAGTAAACCCAACAGCTGCAGGACTTAGCTCATCTAGTGTCATCAAATTTATCTTGAAGTCTGTAGAATAAAGAGAAAAGAGTCAGACTTTCAAAAATGTATTCGGTGAACTAATCGTTGGGACGGCTGGGGCAGAGGAGTTAAGTGCTCGTCTCATAACCAGAGGGTTGCAGGATCAAGTTCCACTGGAGTCGTTTCGTTCTTGAGCAAGACCCACGTTCCCTGCTGGTGGCGGTGGTGGTGGTCAGAGGGACCAGTGGCGCCACCCCAGGGCAGCTCATCCCCACCAGAGTGAGTGTGAGTGTGTGTGTGCTCCAGTGTTAATCACAAGAACTGCTTCATGTTGATGTAGCAATACTGAGAACATCCGGTACCCAATACAGGTGAGGAATAAAATACCATACATTTCTTTCATCAGCATCAACTTATTTTTCTTCAACAAGCTAACACAAACGCCGAGTCTCTCGGAGTAGCTAGCAGGGAGTTTAATCTCCACGATTGTGAAGAAATGATTTCTTATCTAATCTGATAATACTTAGAACCTGAAAATGCACTTTTGTAAAAGTGAATGATCTCTGTCCAGTCTTCCTAAAGATGAGTTTAATCGGCAGAAATGGATGGATTTTATCTGAAAGAGTTCTAAAAACAGTCAGAATACGACTGGGATTTCACAGACTGCTTGTTAAACTATCGCCAGTAACGCAGTGGGTTTTCAGACGGATTAATTCTCCAACCGGTGCCATTCCAACGTTAAAACTACCTGTGGGTACAGCCAAAATGCTATCCGCTAGCTGAATAGTTATAAAGCACTGGTGACCCTCTCTCATAAAAAAAGAAAAGTTTCCACCCTCAGTTAGGCTGTCCCCATCTCTGCCAGCCTTTAAGAGTCGCCTAAAAACACACCTCCTCCGCTTGGCGTTTCCTGAACATGTTTGATTCGGCCCTCTTTTACGTTGAATTTCTTTCACAGTTTTCATTGGTTCACCTTGTTTTACCCATCTGTCCTGTACTAGAATGTTTCACCTTTTTTTGTAATATGTATTTTGTAATTTCAATTGCTTTTATTTTTGATTTATTCACTATATTTGTACTTCTACTGTACCATGTTCAGCGCCTTGGGCTTCCTGACAGGGTTGCGGAAGGCGCTTTATAAATAAAGCTTTGATTGATTTGATTGACTGATTGAAAAACTAAAATAATAATTTGAGGTTACTAACATCACATATCTCCTATCAGGCATACTCTTTGACTCCGATGAGCGCTTCTCACCTTCTGAGGAAACTGAATTCGTCTGACTGTGTGGCTCTTCAGAGGCAGACCCCACCTGGAACAGCTGATCCAGAGACAGCACTTTAGCCCCCGCCAGTGAGGACAACGCAGAATGCTCTGAGTTATGAGCGTCAATCCTTTCTGAAGGTAAAATGGAGACGGGCGGAGGAGAGGGTGATGTAGGGACCACAGAGGGGCTGAAGTGGGTCCGAGTCTTGCTGCTGAATCGAAAAGGTGAACTACAACGTGAAGGAGAGGCCGAGGAGCGGGATGGAGGTACATCAGAGGGCAATGGAGGATGAGCAGCAGGTGGCGCTATGCTTTGAACCTTCTGACTAGGCCTGTGGAGCATCTGTGTGAACAGGAAGTACTGTGTGACAAAACGGTGACTGATATCATACTGGAAATGCTTTAGGGGTTTCCTTTTGTCTAATCAGAGATACTGGCTACTGTCCCGTATACTTATGGCTTTTATCAGTTCAGCCACGCTCACAATCTTTGTGATTTCATTTCAGTACACCAAAAAAAAAATGTCTAGTACTTAAAAGGTTTTCAAACAAATCAAACCTTGATTTGGTGTAACAAGTGACATGCTGCTGTCCATCAATGGTTTATCTAACTTTAAATGTCCAGGTGAATATTTTAAACCTAAGAAGTTGTGCTTGACAGCCACTGTTTGAACAGGGATGTATAAGTATTACTACAACCTGAATTTACTCAAAGATAAAATAATCATCATGGAAGCTTATTTCTAGGTCCTCTAAAAGAAAACGTTACACATAAATATAAGACGCTAAAGCCAAATGGTAAACTTAACCCCTTTTAAAGCTGAGGGCCTCTTACCTCCACCATCTGTGGTTTCATTTCTCATTGGTTGCCATCCAAACGTGTACATTTAACACCAACCTTGCCTTCACTTTTCATAGATGAAGCTCTCTCTGGTCCTGAGACGCTGTGGTCCGATGAATCCTCAACGTCTCCAAGAAGTTTCTGCATGTATTCTTCATCACTTTCCACACCCACATTACTCGTTCTTCTTCCCGGCGTTGTCTCTAAATCTGCTGGAAGGGCTGCAGCATCTCTAGCTCTGACTCTCGGGCTCAAACCGTCAGCACTTTGAGGAGCCACCGCTGTAGAAGTATTAGTAGATTCCACACATCCTGCAGGTTTGTTTTTGAGGAACCTGCTACGCCTCTGGCTCTGTGCACCTGTAGAGACCTGCTGGGTGGTGTCCAGGGCTGCCGGTGGCGAGACTGTCAAATGCGGTGTCAGAGTGGGGCCAGATGTCACCTGTCGAGTCTGTTCAAGGGCCTGCCTGCGGCTACGGATGCGGTTCTCTATTTCAGACAGTCTTGCCAGGGATGCAGTCTGACGGCCTTGACGTGGAGACACATATCTAGAGAAAGAGATGCAAAAGGAAAATGTTCCTGTGCATTTGTGTGACAATTATTCTTCTATTGAAGCAGATAAGAATCAGCTCTGTCCAGAAGATTATATAATCTTATTACGAATGTGTAATAACATGATGATGCACGTTGACTCTTTGCAAAAGCTTTAAGAACAAACCACATCCTTTAGTGGAGACCATGTTCCCTTTGAGAACTGGTCTTTACAAATGTAGGCACAACAGATTTTCATGTAGAACCGAACCTTTGGCTCTGTCACGGCTGCCAGCCTGAAGAGGGAAAAAGCAGCCAGGATCACCCAGCTCTGGTGATTGACTGGACACCGCCCCTCCTCCTCCTCCCTTCCAGGCTGCGGAGGAGCACAGCTGAGCTGAATCCTCCTGATGAGCCACACCTAGGATAAAAAGGCTGTGCCTTCAGCAGACCGGGAGACAGCAGTGCAGGGGTTCTGCTGTCCTCCATGATTCGTTTTGTTTTAACCCCTTCGTTCGTTCGTTCGTTCGTTCGGTCGGTCGGTCGGTCGATCCTTCGTTTTGATGAGTTTAACTTTTATAGTTGAAACTCTTGAGTGATCCTGTGGGATCTTGTGTTCGTTAGTTTTAAAGGTTAACTTCGTTTGTGGAATATGATTGACTTCGGTTTTAAACACCTTTGTTTCGGTTGAGCATTTAACTAAGTTTTAACCAGGTGTTTTTTTTTATAGTTGATCATTCGTCTTTTAATGTTAACCTTTTTGAGAGTTTGTGTTTTGCATTATTTTTTTAATGCCCGTCGTCTGTTTGCCCGTGTTTTAGAACCTTTTTATAACAATAAAACCCTTTTAATATCCACTGTCCAGTTCTTATGTTATCCCCATCCTTCACATTTTACCATCTCATGTCGGGGACGTAACAGGCTCTCTAGAAGGTTAAGGTGAAAACAACTGGACTTTTCTTATCATGAAAAGAAGAAATAAGAAACAAGCAAAGTCCTGTTGTTTCCAGCTAAACCTTCTGGATTATCACTCCCTGGACGATAGACCTCACCTTGGTTCCTGCAGCATCTTGTTCCTGCTGACAGGTGATTGGTCAGCCTTTTTTAAAAACCTGCTCCCATCTCTCACTGAGCTCTGCTGGGCCATTTTCCATCTGAATGAGGAAGAAGTACATTCAGTTAAATGCACCTACCACAAGTTATTCTGTAAAAACATCCGTGAAATCTGCCTGGAGTGATGCCCCACATCCACGCACACACACATGCAATGACCCAAATAAAACAGCCATAACCTACAAACTAGAGATGTGAGTTTACATCAAAGTTGATCAGGGACATTACTAATAAAGGGTCACTCACCAGTGTTTTCTCTCATCTTTCATCTCGACGAACTTTTCGGACGAACTCCTCTTTGAAAGTCCCAAACTCCCAGTGATCCTCGACTGGAGGCATCTTCCAGCCGTCCGCCTCCCCTCGTCCCGTTTAACACAAGCCAATGTACACCGGAGAGAGCGCCCGTTGGGTTTTCAGTTTGATGTTGGTGGTGGTGAATTAAAAAGTTGTGTGTGAAGACGATCCTGTTGTTCTTTTAGCTGGGAAAACAACCCGACATGAACCCGCATCCTCCAGCCCTTTGGGAATGGGAATCGGTGTTTTTGAAGGTTCCACTTGTGTATAAAAATGAAGGATGTTTGCTTAAAGTTCAACAAACCGTAACACCACAGTGCTTAAGTATTTTGTTGTCATAACAGAATCATGTGTGGAGCGTTGTCGGCCTTCCTTGCTGCTTCCACCGCAGCAGAGCAGCAACCCCGGTTCCAGCTTCTCTATTCTTTCTGTTACTCTGTAAACTGTTGAACCGTTAAATGCGATGACTAAAGCTACGTTTGTATCTTAAATGACAAAGAAATTAATAAGTTTTAAAACAAAACCCCAAAGCACAAAAGTCAAAAGGCTGCTAAACATCTAAGCTTTCACAGTTCCTTTACACTAAAAGCCCCCAATCTGTTCTCTTCCGGTTTGCGAATTCGGACGTTGTACGCATGCGCGGATGAACTGACTCCTAAATGTTTCGCGGTCACGTCTTGCAAATTAATCACGATTTATATCGTGTATATACATATATTATACACACACACACACACACACACACACACACACATATATATATATATATATATATATATATATATATATATATATACACACACACATACATCAGGGTATCTGCAGGTTTAAGGCAGCCAAATTTAAGCTATTTTTTAAAATTAAATTTAAGCTGATTTCCAGCTATTGCCTGGAACCGTTGCTAACCACGTCACAAACGTGGAATTGGCCCATAGACTGTACATACCACCCAGTTACCATTAAACTTGCACTTCCCCATGGCGCAAGCTCCCACTAGCTTAACCAGCTAATGTGCTCATCTAAAAATAGCCCCCTTTCACAACCAACTGAATGTGTACAGTTCCGCTTACACCAACATCATACACAAAACATGCTGAACACCAACTAGAAATTCTTGTTCATTGGGTCTTTGGTAATTTAAGACCTTTGGAAACTGTATTTAAGGATTATTAGTCATTTTTAAGGATTTTGAAGGCCTTAAATTTAGAAAAGCAAATTTAAGACTTTTTAAGGACCCGCGGATACCCTGATACATACATTTTTTTTTCTTGTCTTTTTCTGCAGGTCTAGAAGCAGACTCTTGTTCATTATTGTTTATTTTTGTGGAACCCCTCCACCCCCTTCCCCCCTCTCTCCCCACCTTTTTTCTTTTCCTTTCTTTCACCTCTGACTCCGTGTCTGGTCAGAATTACAAAGCATTCAAAAACAATAACAATAAAGTTTTAAGTATCAGGCGTGACATTAAAAGCAGACGCTTTGATGCTCCACCTGAGAGTAAATCTGTAAGGCTTGTCACCAGCATTCAGACATCAATTCTGTTTGCTTCACATTCAGACAGGACACGGTAAAAAAAAAAGAAAAAAAAGAAATGTAACCTCACACAGAGTAATTGTAAAAATTTAAACTCAGAAAAACATATTTTAAAACCAGATGTTTATTTTTCTGCACTGTTTGTGGAGAAAAACACTCACATCAGTTTAACTACTTCTGTATTACTACAATCAAAATGACAAACGTATTTCAAACAATGTAATCACATGAAGGAGTATCGTGTTTGATAAACACTCAAAGAGACCCAAAAGTTCCTCCTAAAGCTTCCCTCTGGCTCCCGTTTAAAGATGAGAAACGTTACAGAGAATTTAAAAACAAAATAAGTGTTTTTGAAAAATAAGTGAAAATATGTTTGTCTGACTAAGATATATTTAGTCACATTCAGAAATGAAAATATATACAATGAACTTAATAGAAGCCGTGATCTTTTGTCTTTACGCCAATATTAAACGTTGAGTTAATGTCCGAGTCTTTAGTTAAAACACTGAACTAAAACTAGGAGAAAGAAGCATTTGAGGCCTATACTCCATTTTGTTAGTCTGGTTTCTGTGTGTATTAAATAGTAATGGAAAAAGTTCACTATTAGGCTCTTGCTGATTATTCTATATGCCACCTTCACTGGAAAGGGCCAGTCATTTCACTGGCTCAAATCAGATGGAACAAACAAACTGGTTTTCAGAAACAGGAACAACTGGAGCGCTGATCCTGGATGGAAAACCGCTGACTTCAGATCTTTGTTGAATGGTAGACTGAGAAGATGAGATAAGACATCTGATGACCTCAGTCAGTTGAAGGGGCTTCCTGAGGTTCTCGGTTGACTGAATGAAAAAAACAAAAACAAAAAAAGTATTTCAACAAAAGTAGCTAATTTATTATAATAATGTAGTTCAGGGTATCTGCAGGTTTAAGGGAGCCAAATTTAAGACTTTTTAAGACCTTTTTTAAGGCCACTTGGACCAAATTTAAGCTATAATTTCCAGCTATTGCCTGGAACCGGTGCTAACCACGTCGTGAACGTGGGATTAGCCATCCAGTTACCATTAATGTTGCACTTCCCCATGGCGCAAACTCCCACTAGCTTAACGTGCTCATCTAAAAATAGCCCCCTTTCACAACCAACCGAACGTGTACGGTTCCGCTTACGCCAATACCGTACACAAAAAATGCTGAACACTAACTAGAAATTCACGAAAATTTTATAGAAATAAAAGAATCTTGTTTATTGGGTCTTTGGTAATTTAAGACTTTTGGAAACTATTTAAGGATTATTTGTATTTTTTAAGGATTTTTAAGGCCTTAAATTTGGAAAAGCAAATTTAAGACTTTTTAAGGACCTGCAGATGCCCTGGTAGTTACTCAGAAGTGGAGCTAAAAGCCTCTAAATGTGAAACATCTGTTACCTTCCTCTCTTGCCTTCATACGGGCAACAAAGTTGTAGCTCTTATTCCTGCGATAATTCTCGTAAGGATCATCAAGTGAGACTCCGACACCTTTGTACTGGTCCCATTTATCCCTGATGTCTCCTCCTTTTATAGGGTCCTGGATGCCCTGTTCCTTGGCCCCCAAGCCCCCAGAGCCACTCCAACCTACAGAACATAAAACACAATGGCAACAGAAACAATAAAAATGTTTCTGACATAACTGCAACTGTTTGGTTCAACTAGGACGTTGACACAAACAAACACACCCATTTTCATGAGGAGCTGGTGGCCCTTGTTCTCCTCTCCTAACCGGCTGTCTGCAGACCCTTTGGAGGAGGAAGCCCCCATCACTGCGGCGGATCTGTTGATCGGAGGGGTGAAGGTCACGTTTTAGTGGTTCTCGCTTCCAGGCTGTTGTTGAAGATTGGTTTTGAACTTACGAGGGAGAAGGACTCCGAGATTTGGGGCCATGGCGTCGCTTTGTGGGCGAACGTGAGCGGGATCTGGATCTGGACCCAGACTGACTGTGAGATGACCGGGATCGACTTCTCGACCTGAAGTGAGTCAAGTTATTTTGTTATGTCCAGGAAAAGCAAAGTTCTGAGTCTGTAGATGGTTAAAAGATGAAGTCTACCTAATGTAACATTTTAGGGGAGGTTCTACTTGCATCTTTGGGGAAGACTGAAGTAGCAGCAAATGTACTAACTACATATACCAAGTATTAACGTCACTGGCCACCTTTAAGCTGTCTACATTTGAATACTAGGAGTTTCATTTTTCCCATACACTTGCATCACAGATAAAAATTGAATATAAATTTTATTTTGATTCAAAGCCTCAACAAGACGTGATATTAAGGTCAAAGTTCAGTTTATAGACGTTCCTGTCTAGTTGCTGGAGATGCAGGTCAGCACCCTTCACAAGCCGATGTAGAACTAGGGATGCACCGATCAGGTTTTTTGCTGCCGATCACCAATACCGATATCAAAGAATGCTGATCACCGATACCGATCACGTGGAGTGGCCAGAAATTTTCTACATTATAATGAATGCTACAAACTACATAATCTGGGAATAAAGGAAATGTAACCTAATCTAAAATGGTCTGTATTAGGGTTGTCACGGTGTGAAAATTTAACCTCACGGTTATTGTGACCAAAATTACCACGGTTTTTGGTTTTATCGCTGTATTTTTTAAAACGTGCTACATTTTCACACAATTAAATAAACCCTGTATGTCAGGAAATATTGTCCTCAGTTAGTGTCTAAATTTTGCCTAAAATGTGTTATTTTGTAATGATGCTGTTTATTTGTTTACATTTTTCCCCTTTAGTATTTAAAATACCAATATTTACCCATAACTTCTTATTTTATGTCTGTTTGACGTCATCATTTGAAAAATATTAGATCAGATGATACTCAGTACTCAAGTAGCCTTCTAATCAGATACTTTTTTACCCTTACTTGAGTAATAAACCCTATATCAGGAAAATATTGTCCTCGGTTTGTGTCCTTCCAGTGAGCTTTGCAGATGTGGGAAAATGTCATCAGGCAGTAATCGTTGTTAAATTCATAATTATTCTCGGAGAGAGACCAACTCTTATCTGCCCCTGGGAGCCCCGTAATGCATAGCGTCATTTCAACATGGGGGTGTCCGCGACACGGTTTATATGCAGGTAGCGGCGCTGCGGCTGCTTTATACAGCGACTCGTTGCATTCTCCCTCAACCCAAATCCTCGGATCACGCATTTTAGCTAAAACGCTAATGCTAACTTGCCTTGCGTTGACTGTAGAGTTGTGGGTGATGGTCACGCAGATGTGTGATGAGATTTGAAGCGTCTCCATCTCCTCCTTTGGCCATTATTTCAGCTTTAGCTTCAAGAAAGTTTTGGTTGTAATCAACAAAGCGTGCATGTGCCGCCGGCAACTTCAGCAGATGATACGGTGGCTGGTAAGGGTCACCGCACCTACACGGCAGCCACGGTAATCCACCGAGATAATAGTTTTTTTTTAAAACAAGACGGTTATTATTATTGTCAACTTTTTTTTACCGGGGTTTACCGCTACACCGGTTACCGTGACAACCCTACCTGATCAGTCTGCTTTGATCTATTTTGAAAACTCCGATCAAAACCGATAGGGGCGCTGTCGGCCGATTGGGATCAAATGCAGATCCATCGGTGCATCCCTATGTAGAACCCATGTGGACACATCATTTGTGTTTCATCACGAGTTTCACATGCTGCACTGATGACTTTTACTTCCCTTCACAAGCACTAAAACATGTACAAGAGTAGAGCTTTGGTTAAAACAACACCGCAGGATGCACAGTCTGTGTGTGATGCAGACCTGGATCTTGAGTAGGAGCGGGAGCGACTACGGGAGTGGGATGAGCGGGACCTGGACCTGGAGGACTTCGAGGAGTTAGAGCTGGAGCAAGATGATGATCTGCCTCGGCTACGAGAGCGACTCCTCGAGCGACTGCCCCCACGAGCACTGTACAAAAGAGACGTGTGGAAAGTTAGAGCTTAAAAAACAAGAACATTTACATAAACGATTTAAAGATGAGTTTGGTTCTTTATTTATAGAAAAGGAGTCTAGAAGAATGTGTCAGCTCTTTTAACATGCGCTTCTGTGTAAAAGCCATAAATAAGTACCATCATAAGTGTTTGTTTGGAAGTCGGGTCTACCTAAATGACTTGGATGTGTCTTTAAAACCACAAGTAGAAGCGCTAAAAGCCTTTCTTCTAAAAAAGATGTTTGCTCTGTCGCCAGACGCCATTTTTGACTACAGCGTCACGGACGTCACACACAGCGATGCTCAGTTTCTCATAAACAAGACAGCGGCGGAGTTCGCCACGGCTCTTTCCTCTGTTCTAAATGACTTAAATGTCTTTAAAACCACAACAAGTAGAAGCGCTAAAAGCCATTCTTCTAAAAAAGATGCTTGCGCAGTTGCCAGCTAGCGTCGCGCGGTACAGTCAACATTTCCGTCTTTTTTCTGATTGGTTATTTTTAAACTGCCTAGTCCCGCCCCTAAAGTGCCTCTCTGCCCGTGAGTTACCAGACTCATGCTCTGTGCAGAATTAAACAGAGGAGGAGTCTGGCGGGCCAGGCGAGGGGTCAGGTGCAGCAGGTGTTCCTAAAGCTGGGAGTACACTGTGTGACTTTTTCACTCGTAGCACTCAGCTTCAGCTCAAACTGTACGACTTGCTCGCAGGGCAGATCTCACGAGTCATGCGCTCACACTGCACGACCCAGTTCTCGGTTGCGACCCGACTGCTCACACTGTACGTCTGGTAGCAACACGTCGGCCCAAAAAATATGCTATAAATAGCAGTTTTTACTCAACACGTCAGACTTTTTTGTCTTGCCTGTTGTCCTTCGGGAGTGCTGCAGGAGGACACACAGGGATTTATGGGGGTTGGATGAGGAAAACGAAATAAAGTAAATCTGTGTTTTGTGATCAATTTAATTTGACATGAACACGACAAACACGCTTTTTTGACAATCTTTGTGAGTAAAAAAACGTGTAGAAACAAAAACGAACAGCGTGTGTTATTAGGGAAATAGCGGGCGAGCGATGTTGATGCAGGATTGCGCATGCGCCGTGAGCGGTTCTGATACATTTTGGGTCGCAGCTGCTCGCAGCGCCGCTTCAACAGTGCGATACCCTCACGAGGGACGAGCGAAATATTAAACACACCAGAAGTCCGTGCGACCTCACGATTGCTGATCGGTAGCTGGTCACGTGGTGTTAATCGCCTCTCGTAGCCCCCTGTACACTACACCACGCTCAGCACTAAACTCGCCCCGATCTCGTGGATTCTCGCACGAGTGGAAAATCGGCTCAAAAAAGTGAAAAAGTCGCACAGTGGACGCCCGGCTTAAGACTTCTGCTGTAATAATCACGCTATGTGATACTTTGGAGTTCTGTAGGATGTGAAATATTTCTCAGAACGGAGGAAGATGAGTGAGATAGGAAACATCTGAACGACACAGAAACACACTCAACATGGTTGAAATACCCCTTCAGGTACTTCAGTGAATGCTCTGAGCTCAGAGGGTCTGTAGACCTACGGGTTCAGACACTCACCTGTTCCGTTTCTCTTGCTCCTTTTTCCTTCTGGCCCTCATCTTGGCCCTGAAGAACTCGTACAGACCATTCTGTTCCCAACCTTCACTGGAGGAGAAACAAAACACAGCAGGTTGTAAAAGGTTACTACACTTAAAAGAGAGATGGCAGTACCACATAAACGTTACTACAAACTAGGGATGTAAGAAAATATCGATATGGCAATATATCGTGATATTGTTTCCTGCAATATTATATCGATATTCAAAAGCTGTGTATCGAATTTTGGGAATAATTCACATGCAAACACTTGTGTATTTTCATTTCCTTTGGTGCAATTCAAACGCCGACTTCTAGTTGGCAGCAGTGTGCAGTGGGCTTCGTTTCCACTATTGAAATGTACATCTCTTTATTATGGTTCAGATGCATCACGATAAACATGTTAAGTATCAGTTTGGGCAGTTTATTGAAATTTCCTACAATAAATTCAGTCTAAAAAAATTGCTGCTATTGTCTGGCTGAATGTATCGCAATATATTGTGGTATATCGTATCGTCTCCCCCGTATTGTGATGCATATCGTATTGCCAGAATTTCACCAATACACATCCCTACTACAAACCTACTGTTGCTAAGTGGTGGATGGTCATTTAGATGAATGCGTGACGATGTCACAAACAATCTCCTTTAGGTTACCGTACTTTTATTCTTGACTGCTCTAGTTCTGTTTCACCGCTTCACCATCCTCTAACATCCAACTTACCCGAGGTTATACGTGCACTAAAGGCTGTTTTCATCTTCAGTTCAATAAAGTTTTGCGGTCTGAGGGAATTACCTGTTTCTGGGTCGGTCGTGAGAGGGGGGGCTGTAAAAAGCCTCCACAGCAGCCAGCAGTCGATCGCTGGGAGGCATGGGAGGTGGCAGCCTGATGTCCTTGGGATCTAGAGGTTTATAATCACAGTCCTCCAGCTGAGCAGCACCAAGACAGGACAAGAGTTATTAGACGTGCACACATGACTTTTTCACACACCTGACACACGGACCCACTTTAAACACATCTGAGCACCACGTTTAACAGCCCAACACTCTCGAGGCCAATTGCCTGCACTCACTTTGACCAATGGCGCCATGAGGCCTGCTGGCAGATCAAAGTAGGGCACATTAGGAACCAGACTTGGGTCGTCTTGAACCGCCTGCTGCCGGTGACGCACGTGAGGGGAGTGGCCGTTGAAACCATGTGGAGGTGGACCGAATTCTGGGCGCTGACCTCCACCCCCACCTCCACCTCCACCCCCACCACCGCCCCATGGAAGATGATCAGCTCCCATACCTGGGGGGGGGAGCCTCTGACTGGAGTGGTGATGAGGAGGAGGAGGGCCTGGCATGTCTAACAAACACAGTTTGGTTTGAAAGGATTCAAAACAATCACAAGAGGCTCAGCTGGTGTCTCTGCACTCACCTCCTGGGAATTCCCCTTGAGGGTAGTCAAAATGGTGGGGGGTGTACGGCGGTCTGTCATAGTGGTGTCTGGGAGGAAAGTCGTCCTGCATAAAGCGTGGGGGGAAACGTCCAAAATTGTGTGGGGGTGGGGGAGGCTGGTTGTAAGGAGGTGGCTGCTGGCGGGGAGGGAAAGGTCCTCTGAAATGGGGAGGTCTCTGCAAAAATGGAGAAGACATCCATAATCACTAAACAGGGTTCCCTGTACCCAGAAGAGCTGGTAAGCACCAATGTTTTCTTATTTCCTTTGTGGTTGGGTGTCTAAATATGTGACATGACAGAAATATAAACAAAGTTATCTTGTGCAACATGCCTGCATGCGCGGAGGAAACGGCGGTTCTCTATGGCTCCAGGGACCCTGGTCTGGCTGGTTTCCCCATGGTGGCTGTTGGTCATATGAATTCCACGATGGAGGACCAGGGTCACTCCCACTTGGCCCACTCCAAGGTCCTCCTTCTCTTGGAGGACCTCCGCTCCAGTTTCCTGGGTCTCTCTGCTCATTCCACATGCCCTCATGGCTGTTCCACGGTGGGCAAGGAGGGGGAGGCTGGTTCGGGTCAAAGGGAGGCTGAGAAAAGTTGAGATACAGAGAATGTGGGTGTTATCACAAAGAGCAGAAAACTAGGTTTTTTATTAGGTCTTTTTAAAAACTGGCAACCAGGTCACTGTGACAGCGGAGAAGCAAATTAAGACTATTTTTAAGGTTACCACACACACACACAAAGACACACACACACACACACAGGGTCTTTACCGGCTGGCTGGGGTTCCATGCTCCAACATGCTGGGGATCAAACCATGCAGGCTTGTTGGAAGGCGCATCTGAGGGTCCACTGGAGTTCTTTGAATCCTGCGATCTGGCTGCAGAGCCCTCAAAGTCCGCAGGGGGAGGACCGGTCAGGGGGGAGTTCACATCTCCTGCACACACACACACGACATCATGAGAAATGCAGCTTCCATTCAGGCTAACTCTGACTGTTCTAGACCAGGGGTGTCAAACTCATTTTAGCTCAGGGGCCACATGGAGGGAAATCTAGGCCCAAGTGTGCCGGACCGGTAAATTAAAAACAACTTCAGATTGTTTTCTTTGTTTTAATACAATCAATATAAAACAAGGCTGGAGCCTGAGGACAGTGTATCCAAAATAGTACAAGTACAACACCTGAAGTGTACTTGAAAATTTGGAGGAGAAAAAAAAACAACAAATAAAAAAAAACATTCCTTAGTGATTCAAAGAGCTTAGAGATCACATGGCAAGATCAGTTTCATGCAGCACTTAAAATATATTTCACTCATTTTATTTTATATCTTTTAGCTTTCACCAGAACATCAGTATCAGAAGTCACGTCCTGAGTGGCGGCCAACTTCAGGATGTGATTCAAGTTCTTGTGTGAGCCTTGAGCGCAGCTTTGTTTTATTTATACTCACTACAGAGAAAACTTGCTCACAAAGATAAGTTTATTTTCACTCTACATTGTAAAGTATGAAAATAAAGTTTACACAACCATCTCGCGGGCCGGATCCGGCCAGCAGGCCGCATATTTGACACCCCAGTTCTAGAGGGCTTCTGTGGAAAGTTAAAGAACAACTAAAATCTATCTGCTGTTGATAGCTCTTTGAACAACCTCAGTGTGGAGAAATAGATATTATTAAAACTAACATGTAATCCAGCGTTTCCGGCTATAAAACCATCTGAAAACTGCTCTAATCTCAGAAATGTAACTGCAGTTCGTGTCATAATTTGATGATCCGGTGATAACAGCTTTTCACGTTGCATATCAGGTTAGTCCATGAAAGAGTGAACTTGGCCTTTAAGAAATTCATTTTATAAAACTCATTCACTGCCATTCACTAAAGTCGTCAATTGCATTTTTTAACAGGCCGCGCTTAGGAATGAGCTTGTGCACCTTGAGAGTAAACATCACAGCTCTAAAGCTGATTTTAACCCATGAGTGTCACACGTCACGTGATCAGGAAGTAGAACATTCATTAGGAGATTGCTTTGGGATGCCACGATGCCTAAAGCGAGGTGCAAACCAGAAACGCTTCTGCAGCTCACACTTCGACAACTGACGGTCAAAGAAAGGAAAAAGCTAGAAACGTGCAAATTCTTCTTGATGTAAGAAGCGAGTCGACTCTTTCGTTTGCAGTTTTGGTGTTTATGTAACCCAGAAGCTAGAACCTTAATGAGGTATTAACTAATTGGCTTACTAATATGATCCATCCTCAATTTAGATAAAATATAAAATATAAATTAAGGAAATTAACAATACTAATTAATAGATATCTAATTAACTAATAGATAATTTCATAATGAATTATTGGAAGGGTGAATAACTAAAATAACGAGTTTAATATTAAACATCGGTTAAAACAAGAATCTTGAACATCCCTAACAGAAACAGAAGAGGAAAGCTGTATACTATTGGTCCAGGTGGGAATCTGAAATTTCATTGGCTGAGAGAAATAAGTCCCGCCTCCGCGAAATAAAACCGTGCGACGCAGCTGAGCGAGAGGAGAGACAAACGGCTGTGCAGCACGCAGATACAGAAAGCAAAGACTGAGCGGTTAGAGAGAGAGAGAGAGAGAGAAAAAAACAACGGTCGAGGCCGTGAAGAACCCTGATTTGGGTGCCGCATAAGAAGAGAAAAAGCTAACGATGCAACTTAAAAAAAAGGAAACTTAAATAGCTTATCAAATTAATTCCATTCTTATAGATTTGTGTGGAGACGACAGAGTGAACCAATCCTCTGTAGGAGGGAACCGTTGGAGCGCGTTGGTGAGTGAATGAGATTAAATTCAGTAAATTATTAAATTCAAAAAGCTAATTACAGCAACCGAGGTGACAGCAGTGGGCTGCTAGACGTTAGATCCCAGGAGTTAACATCTCAAACTACCAGTTAACGGTGGTAGGGCATATAGGAGTTAACGGCTCAAACCGCCAGTTAACGGCGGTAGGGCATATGGGATTCCCAGGAGTTAACGGCTCAAACCGCCAGTTAATGGTGGTACGGCCTAGATGTACAAGGTCCTCAGGGGCGTTATAGCTAACGCCATAGAATTAGCAATGCGTCCCTTAACCAAACATTTAATAATAAAAAAAATAGATAAATAAAAATAAATAAAAGCTAACTGATTAGGGAGGAATTATTTTACAAAGGTGGACCAAAGGACCAGAATTTATATTTTGTTTAATTTTGTTATAGAACATTTTATTTATTTATTTATTTATTTATTTATTTATTGTGTTACAGATATACAAGGTGTCACAATGCTGTATAGAAACACAACTAAATGTATCCTTGTTGTCATGAATGTATTTCTTGTTGAATAGTGTAGAGTAATAGAATCTAACTGAGCCTATTGAGCTGAACAATTGTTGTCATATGTAATTATATTTCCAGAGCTACTGAGAATTATTTTAATAGACAATCAAATTGATGTTATGTTAGTTGAACTGTGAACCCAAACATGATTGGCTATGCCAATAGAGTGAAGCATTTGTTTAAGTCTGTAAGACTTTATGCTGTGATGTGACGAGAAGGGTCGATGCCAACTCGCTAACAGTCCTGTTGTTTACAGGCTGGGTTTTTTTTTTTCCTTGGGTTTGATCCCGACTCCTATGATCACTCACTTGGAACGAGAACTGGATTTCTTCCTGACGAGGGAGATGGCGAGCCTTAACCACTGAACGAACCAGGACATCTCAAGTAACTGAAGAGCAGACTGCTCTCTTCTGTGAACAATCTCAACGGTGCGGTAGGAAAAAATCGCACCACCGGACTCTGACTTTCACCCCAAGCGTGGGGATTTGACTTGACGCCGGCTGACTTGTGACTCATATGATCAAATCTCATACCGACCATTTTACTATTGTCGATTGTTTTCATCTGTTTTTGTGTGTTATCTTTATGTGTTATATTTCCCATTATTATTAAAATTTAGTATATAAACCGTTTCATGCTATACCCGTGACTCCAGTCATTCTTAAACAACCTCCAATTCTCCCCGAACCTAATTATTGGCCCATTTGTTTATTTTTTCTTTTAATTATCTTATTGTATCCTGTAATCCGGTTACATAAAACTTGGCGAGCCAGCCAGGAGAATTGTAGAGTTGTTACCTTAGCTAACCATTGACTGACATCATAAGAGTGCCTGGAGGTCACAGTGGTTTGCCATTTTGGCATTATTGGTACTTTTGAGTGTTTTAAAATGGAAGTTGTGAAAACAGAAAAGGTCAAAGTTTCAAATGCTGTTTTAATCAGTGGGTTAACTGATACAGACCTTGATAACGAAGTCTTTGGGTTTATGGAAGGATTCGGACCAGTTAACAGGCGCATTAAGTTACCAAACTGTGATCAGATTATTGTGGAGTTTCAACATGAAGCCACTGTTAAGGAATTAAAGAAACAATGTTTACCCTATGACAAACCTTGTACTAGGAACCCAGATGTTTTCTTTCATATTCAAGACCTAGCCAGCGCGTACAGTCTAGAAACTAGCACATCTGCCACTGATGCCTATCTGTCAGAGCTCAGGGACATAGCTGCGCGTAGCAATCAATCATTTAAAGACCTTCTAATGGAGGAACTGGCAAAAATTGGGGAATCTTTAGGAAGGGATACCCATGCATCTGAACCAGTCACTGAACCAGAGCCAATGCTCCATAGTGACCAAGTTACATATTCCCTGCCTTTAACACCAGAAGTTAACTATATGAACAACTCAAAGGACAATTGTCCACCTACAGAGACTGGAAAACAAAACCCTTGCATTCCACCAAATCTTTTAAACACACCTGAGGTTCAGCGAGTTATTGTGGAACACATTGTTAAAAGCAGTGAGGTTATCCCTCCGCCTACTTCACAATACAGACTAAAACCGTTCTCAGGGCGAGTTCCACACCCTTCTTTTGAAACTGACTATGATACTTGGCGTAGTAGTGTAGTGTTATGCATAAATGATCCTTCACTCACCAAGTCCCAAATTGTACGAAGAATCGTGGAGAGTCTGTCAGCCCCAGCAGCGAGCATCGTTAAAGCTCTTAGTCCAAAATCCGACCCGGAAACGTACCTTGAACATCTCGATTCAGCTTACGCAGCTGTCGAAGACGGCGACGAGCTCTTTGCTCGCTTCTTAAACACAAACCAGGACAGTGGTGAAAAACCTTCCGATTACTTTCAGAGGTTATACACCTTGTTAAACCTAGTTATTCAGAGGAATGGAATTTCCTCCAGTGACGCCGACCAGCAGCTGCTCAAGCAGTTTTGCAGAGGCTGTTGGGACAGCTCGCTGATTTCAAACCTGCAACTCGAACAAAAGAAAGACAACCCGCCTCATTTTACAGCACTTCTCCTCAAACTGCGCACTGAAGAAGACAAACAGGCTACTAAAGCAGCACGCATGAAACAACACTTAGGGGCACAACGAACTAGAGTGTATTCAAATGTGCAAACAACATGCTCTCAGAGTAAAAACACTTGTGAACTGGAAATAGATGATAACTGTGATGACTTACGCAAACAAATCGCTGAGCTCAGGAGCCAAATTGCACAGCTTAAGGTTAACAACACAGATAAAAAGGCAAAGAAAACTCAAAAAGAGTCAAAACCCCGTGTGGGGACTAAAATTCCAGATGAGCCCAAACAGATTCAGCAGATAACAGCAGTGGTGCCCAGACCAAAGCCTGGATACTGTTTTAAGTGCGGAGAAGATGGGCACATAGCTTCTAGCTGTAGCAACGAGCCAAATCCAGCACTAGTTGCAACTAAAAGACTTGCTCTTAGACAGAAGCAGCGCGAGTGGGAGATGTCAAAGCCAATTGCTCAGTCTCCTCCTTTAAACCGGTAGAAGCTCCTATCGTGGGACAGATAGGTGCTAAAGTAGAACCAAGTCCCTCTAAGGAAAGGACAGAGA